GAGCTGGTTAGTCACCTCGGCTGCCCGTTTCCAGCTCTCCTGCCCAGCCACAGTGCCGCCGCCGCCGCCACCTCCACCTCCGGACGATGGTGCGCCGCCAAGGCTGCCCGTGCTGCCACGGTCTCCACCACCACCACCACCGCTACCACCGCTACCGCCCATGCCAAAACGGCCGCCGCCAGCGCTCGGCGGGCCGCCGGGAATATCGTCTGTGCCCGACGCCAGGTCCCGCCGGAACCCGCGGGCAGGGCTGCCGCGTCCACTGGCGCCTCCGCCGTACCGCAGATCCGGGCTCAGCTTGCTCCGCGGGTAGGCGGCGGCCAGCTCGCCGTTCTCCTTCTCCTCGGACATGGTGCTCGCGTAGCTGATGCGGTTGCGGCTGGCGCTCGTCGGGTAGGCGCCGTCGCGGTAGATGCCGGCATCGTCGTGGGTGGGCGAGGCGAAGCCGGGACCGGCACCGGGGCCCGGACTGGGGCTGCCTACGGAGGCACCCGCACCGGTACTCGCGCCCGCGCCGTTGACCAGGGCCGCCTCGGCCTTGTTGAGAGCGCGCTTCAGCCGGTCCAGCTCGCGGCGCAGGCGCTCGTTGGTCTGCTCGGCGGCCTCGGCGTCGCTGCGCGCGCGCACGAGCTGCGTCTCCTTGGCCTTGATGCTCAGCATGTTGCGCGTGTGGTCCTCGATCAGGCCCGCGTTCTGGTTCTTGAGCTCCTGGATCTCGGACAGGAAGCGGGCGCGCTCTTGCCGCGACTCGTCCGCGTTGCGCAGCAAACGGTCATTGGCCAGCCGCAGCTCTTCGAGTTCGGCACGTTCGACGGCCATCAGGCCGGACATTTGGGGTGTGGGCGACGGCGGCGCGGCGGCAGGGGCGGCGGCGAGAGCGGACGGCTTGGCCAGTGACCGTGCTGCGAGGCCCGGCCGGCCGAGGCCGAGGCCGACGCGCGGTTGTGGGGCCGGCGTTGTCGGGGCCGGTTCGGGTTCGTCGTAGTCGAGGGGTGGCGAGGCAGGGGCGGGCGGGGGCGCAGCGACGCGGCGTGGTGACAGGGGGCCGGGGCCGGCCAGCGTGCGCTTTGTTGGCGGCTTCATGCCGCCGAGACCGGATGGCTTTGGCATGCCCAACTTGCCAGCCGCAGGTCGTGATGGTGCCGCTGCTGCTGGTGCTGGCTCATCTCTCGCTGCAGCTGCTGCTGCTGCCGCTGCCGGCGCCGCCTTCTTCAGTGGTGAGGGCCCCTTCTTGAGGCCGCCGCCCATGACCTTCTTGGGCGGGCCGCCCGGTGCCCGTTGTGCCGGGGGCGGGGCCACGGCCTTGGGCTTGTCTTTGGCCTTGACCTCGGCGGTCTCGTAAAACTCCTTGATCTTGGTCTTGCGGATGTCGTCGAGGCCCTCGAGGTGCGGGTTCATGCCGCGCTCGCCGATAATCTTCATCACGGTGCCCAGGACCTCGGCGCCGCCCGACCGCAGGCCCTCGCTGCCCTCGGCCAGCAGCTTCTTGGCCGCCTCCACAATGGTGGCAATCTCCTGCTTGCTCGGCACGGTCCGCGTCGTGCGCAGACACCGGATCAGGAAGCGCATGGTGCCCTCCTTGACCTGCGGGTTCTTGTGCGACAAGAAGGTGCAGATGTCCTCGAGGCACTCGCTCAGGTCGGTCGCCAGAAACACCTGGTCGAGCGCGGCGCCCAGCGCGTCGGCCACCGCCTGCTTCTTCTCCTTGAGCCGCTCCAGGATGGGCTGCATGACCACCGAGCGGTACTTGCCGTAGCCCTTGCGCAGGCCCTTGGCGAGGACCTCGATGCACTGCGCCGCCTGCGTGACGACGGCCACGTTGGCGTCCTTCATGCACTTGGCCAGCCCGCGGTTGACCTCGCCAAAGTCGCCGTCCTTGATGCGCGGCACGTTGAGCACGCCGTACAGCGCCTCGACGGCCTCCTTGCGGTCCTTCCACTTGGACGACGCCAGCTTCTCGCTGAAGTCGCCCGGTATCTTTTTCAGCACGTCCTGCGGCTCCGCCAGGTCGAACGCGTCCACCTCGCCCGGGTCGTCGCCGCCGCCGTCGTCGCCCGCACCGCCGTCGTCGTCCACGTCGCCGCCGCCGCCGCCACCCGACGCGGCCGCGACCTCGCGCGCCGCCTGCTGTGTGCGCAGCAGCCGTTCCTGCTTGGGCACGTCGTTGGCGGCCTTGATGGCCTCGAACTGGGCGTCGAGCTCGGCCTGCTGCGTCGGCTTCAGGTCGCCCCAGAACATGGGCTTCATGGCCTCGCGCAGCCAGCGGTAGAACTCGACGGCCAGCTTGGTCGCCTCGGCGCGCACGTTCTTGTCGGCGTGGCCAAACGCCTTGGGCAGCAGCTTGAGCACGGGCTTGGGGTCGACAATCTTGCAGCCGTATGCGTGGTAGATGGCCGTCAGCGCCGCCAGGCACGCGGCCACGACCTTGGGCTGCTTGGCGGCCAGCGACGGCAGCATGTCCTCGACGACGGGCGCGGCGACGTCGAGCTCAATGTACTGCAGCAGCGCCTCGAGCGCCGAGGCCTTGGTGGCGGCGCGCGTCGACGACAGGCCCTTTTCGACGAGGCTGCTGACGGTCGCGCTGCGGGTGCGGACGCTGTTCTCGCGGCCGCCGTACTGCAGGAACGCGACGAGGGCGGCAATGCCGTCCTGCTGGGCGGCGACATTGGAGTCGGCGACGGCGCCCTTCCACAGGCTCGCATCCTGCAGGAACGGTCGGAAGGCTGGGTCGGACTCGTCGGGCGTGCGCTCAAACTGCTTCGCGGCGTCTTCGTAGGCCTGTTTCCGTACTTTCCAGTTCTGGCGGCGTCAGCAACCAGACCCTTTGCCTTGACTGCATCCCCTTCTCTCCCCGCATGCCTTGCTCCTCTCACCTTGTGCACAAATCGGTCCGGCAGCGGCAAGGAACTAAAGTCCTCTTCGGGTTCCGCCATGGTGTTGTGTGGAAAGGGGTCGAAGGTGATTTGTACTTTGTCGGTCTGCCCCTATGTCGTGTGCAGTGTTCGAATTGATTGCATGGGTATGTGTAGGGGTATCTCTATGCGTATGGGTATCGTCGTGCCGTCGTCGGTCAAACGTCGTCTCAAAGGGTTGTGCAAGCCGTTGTCGCGAAGTCTCGTCGCCAAAGTTTCGATTTGTTGTCGCGTCTCTGAATGTGGTTCGCGGTTGTGGCTCAGGCACCTGCCGCTCACAAGCACCCAATGCCCAAAACCCACCAAAATGTTGGCGGTTGTTTCTCCCGGCGTGGGGTAATAAACAATGGGCCACACTACAGTCTGCTGCCCTATGCACGGCACGTGATATAACACGTGCAATTAGCCGACCAAAACTACCCCTATTGTCGTCAGGGGCAACACCTCTCTGAGCCAATGGGAGCGACTGTCGAAGTGAAGCACTAACCAGAAAGAGTGGCCACCAAATCTACAGCGCTGACTTTGGCTTCAGGGTTCAATGTCGTCAACAGCCGTGATTGACGCATGAAAGATGGGAGGTTATGGGTGTACGAGTTCAATTTGGTCTGACTTTGTCTACCGGATATCCATTTTGATAACGTGGTGTAGTTGTGATGGGAATCTACATTGCTGCACGCTGCCAGCGGGTTTTGTGTTTGAAGTTGTTCGCCAGGTCTTCAAAAGTCATTGGCCTCCGGTAGACAAGAGTTCAATAGACGTCGCCCTGGTCTATTCCTAATGTACTTTTTGATTTGGGAGAGATTTCTTTTCTTATATATAAATATGTTGTATTGTTGGTATTTTTGGGTTTAATATGTCTTTTTTTTTTTCGTCGTTTCATTAAAATTCGCAGTAAAAAAAATAAGGAATAATATGTAACGATTTAGAGAAGACGAAGTCAGCCGAGATTCGAGACAATAATATCACGTCAAGAAAAAAAAAAAAAAAAAAAAAAACGAAACGACAATACATTTAGATCGAGTGTTTCTTTTATGTTTTTACAAGCGACATATTTGACTGATTTTGTAGGTCGAATGTTTCCTCTGTCTCTCTTCTGGGGCAACAAACAGGAATAGTGCACACTCATAAACCCATTCTTCGTTCATGTTTCTTATCGGGTTGCGTAACAAAATCAATCCTCCGCCCATCAAACACATGCAAATGCCATGCCCTCTGCGTCGTGTGTTCCCTCCCGATCTTACGACACTATGGACTCTCTCGAGTCTGTCATGTCCACACGGATCTCTCCCTTGCCGACGCCCCGGTGCCTTGGGCAAGGTAAAGTGCGTGGCAAGGCACGACATGTGCCATCCGCTGCCTTGTCTTTGCCTCACCTCAAAACCCTTGATCTGAGGGCGACCCACCTCTCTGACGACGAATCAGCGCAGGTACGACAGCCTACATGACTCGTACCCTGTCTGCTGTCTCCTCCTCCCATGTAGGATATCAACCGGCAATCGGGCTGGCCAAGGGCTGTCAGCATAACGCACATCGCACGCCCTGGGCGCGACATGTGTCGTTGTCTGTCATTGCGGCCGTTTTATCTGCATACGGTGGATGTCGTACATGACACAATTTCGTTATCTTTGGTATGCTCGGGATGCCAAACGTTGCTTTAGAGGCAATGACGACAGCCATCCGTAACCAGTCGTAGCCAGTCGTAGCCAGTCGGAGTGACGCATCGACGGCTGTGTGTGTTGACATATGTCATGTCGTGGGGCACGAAACTCGGTCATGTAAGCGTGTCGTGCACTGAGAGCCGCGAGCTAGCCTGGTTGACATCATTTTAGTGAGGGGATCTGGGACCCTTTCCGCGATGCCGCCATTCTCTAGCGCGATGGTGAATTTTGGTGCCTGTAAGTCGCATTTTGCAGTGCATTTGGGTAGCGCCTAGACCACGTCGACGTCCGGCGTGTAGTCGCATTGCCATGCGGCCAAAAAGTATAAAGTAAACATGTAGGACGACGTTGGGGCAGCGGAGGAAGTTGTACTGGATAGGCATTATCAGCATTGCAGAACACACACAAACACATACACACAACATACAACATGTCTGCCACTGCCACAGAAACCCGGACGGAGGCGGTCCTAACGACGCAGGTGGAGGCGGGCTCTACAGCGGCCCCGGCACCCGTGGAGGCCCCTGTTGAGGCCCCTGCAGCTCAGCGCAAGCCGCTGGAGCTGACGGGTGCGCTGGAGCAGTTCCAGTACGAGGAGTCCACGCCTGTGATTGGCCGCGAGTTCCCGTCGGTCAACATTGTCGACGACATCCTCAACGCCAAGAACGCCGACGACCTGCTCAAGGACTTGGCCATCACAAGTAGGTCTCCGGGTTGTGTTGCAAGTGTTTTTTTTTGCAAGTTTCCGTCTGCGGTTTCCGTCTGCTGACCACCCACGCCGCAGTCTCCCAGCGCGGCGTCGTCTTCTTCCGCAAGCAGGACAACCTCACCAACGACCTGCAAAAGGTGCTCGTGCAGCGCCTCGGCGAGATCAGCCAGAAGCCCAAGGAGTCGACGCTGCACATCCACCCGCTGCTCAACAGCACCAGCGAGTTTGGCGTCAGCGACAACGAGATCAGCACCATCTCGTCCAAGGCGTTCAAGAGCTACGCCGAGGCCCAGCGCGACCGCGACGACCGCCACGGCGGCGCCGCCACGTGGCACTCGGACATCCAGTTCGAGCGGTTCCCGGCCGACTACACCAGCCTGCGGCTGACGGAGCTGCCCAAGACGGGCGGCGACACGCTGTGGGCGTCGGGCTACGAGCTCTACGACCGCTTCAGCGCGGCCTACCAGACCTTCTTCGAGGGCCTGACGGCGAACTTTGTGGGCGACGGCTTCCTCAAGGCGGCCGCCGCGCGCCCGGACAAGTTCCAGCTCTACGAGGCGGCGCGCGGCAACCCGGCCAACAGCGGCGTCGACCTGGAGGCCGTGCACCCGGTCGTGCGCACGAACCCCGTGACGGGCTGGAAGTCCATCTTTGCCATTGGCAACTTCCCGAAGCGCATCAACGAGCTCAGCGCCAAGGAGAGCCGGGAGCTGCTCGACCTCTTCTACAAGCGCATCGAGGAGAACCACGACCTGCAGGTGCGCTTCAAGTGGCGCAACCAGAACGACCTGGCCATCTGGGACAACCGCAGCGCCTTCCACAGCGCCACCAACGACTACGACGGCCTCGGCGACCGCTTCGGCCACCGCGCCGTCGGCATCGGCGAGAAGCCGTACCTCGACCCCAACAGCACCACGCGGACGGCCAGCCTGGCCAGCAAGGCGCAGTAGACGACGGTTGGCGGCATGCGAGGAAGACACGTACCGTATAGAACATATAAGATAGCCGCAAAGTGTAATTTATGATTTTTTAAGAGCATTGACTGTCAGAGTCGCTGTTACGTCTCTGGATGCAAATGAAGGACGAGGACCGCAGCGTTAGATCATGTTCTTCTCGTACTGTGACAAAGTGGTGATATGTACTGCCAGATACGGGAAAGGAAGCGAACCTGGCTGGAGTCTGTTTTGCGTCAGTCCAGCGACTGTGGCATTGTTCTGTCTCGGGGAGACCTCTTGGATCAAATGAGATACAGCGAAATGAGACTGCAGTCATCGTCTTTGTTTTTTCAGTTTCTTATTTTAGAGACGCTCCTTTGGAAAGACTTGTTTTTGCAATTCGCCGCATAAGCCCCATTTTCTCACACCTCTTTTGGCCCGTCCTCGTTGCCACTGTTAATTCTCGCATTGACACCCTCTCTGTCAATACGAGGCGGACATGACGTTGCAGGCCGCCAAGAGGAGATCGACGGCAATTGAATGGCCCCAAGTCCACCAAGTCCACCAAGAGGACGATTCTGGCTTAGCGATTTGTGGGGAACGGACGCGCTGTGGGTGTGCTGGGGATGTTGGGAATGCGCTAGGACTGCGCCAGGATTCGCTGTGGGTTCGGTGACTTCGCTGCAAAGGGCCGGTCGAGGACGCTCGTTTGCCAGCGGCGTGCTGCACCACAATTCGTTGGCAATACGTAAACAGGATCCCCGACGTAATGGCGAGGCAGACTGGTCGTCTAGTTGTTTGCCTGTGTGTGGTTGGAGCCCTGCAAGATGCCTGGCGTAGCCAATCTGCTGTAGTCATGGACGCCGCTATGGAATGCCTGAGCTCTGTTGTATTTTTAGAAGCGGTGACAGCGCACCGGCCACCACTAAACCACCACCTTGCGGCAGACAGCCGGCGGAGAGGGGAGCGGTAGGGCTGAAGCGACGAAAAGCTGGAGCGCGGAGGTGGACATGCGGCAGCATAACGATATGCAACGACGCGAAAACAACGCATCTGTGCACAAATACGAGTCATGTGATGCTTGGCGGTCGGTATGGCGAGGCAGATGCCGAGGGATTGTCTGACCAGCACCAAACCAACTCTGCAAACATGACTCGAGATGGGTATGACGACGGCCACTCTGTCGTACCTTGGTCAGGATACCCGTCTTTGATTCCATCGGTCAGATGTCAATCGTCAGATTCCAATGGCCATGATACTAACCATATTATGACGTCTCCTTTACGTGTCCAGCTCGTGTACAGAGACGGCATCCTGGATCGACAGAGAAGGCAAAGCGCAAAGCCTACGAGACAGCCCAGTGAGAAGGCAGAGTAAAGAACGCAAACAGAAAATTACGGCAAGTCTGGACAACGGACAGTGAACGTGGTTGGCCAGCACATAGCATCTCGTATTGTGCCGCACGGGATGTGGAGCAGCGCGGGATCCAAGGTTCACGAGAGTATCCTTTGGGGCAGACTGGGCTACACTGCCGTCAGCCTTCACCTTGCACGGTGGACTTTGCAACACACGACAGCCACACATACTCCCACGTTTCCGGCATCTGGGACACCCACCTGTACTTTCCACCTTTCCATCTCCAGCTTCTGGGGATACACAATGCAGAGTACAACTGCAACATCTTGTTCAACGTAGTATCTGCGAGGTAATGGCTTTCTTCATCGTCGTGTCCCGGCAGGTGCTGCAATATGACGCCACTGCCGCACGGCTGAGTGTCAACACTGCTCCCCCGACGCTGACTGGCAAATACCCCGAAAATGTGGAGAATCCTGGACGGCTGGCAAACTCGGCGTCAGCCTCAGCCTTCGACCCCCTGTACATGTTATTGTTCTGCAGGAAGCTCGTATTTTTCTTCTTTGCATCTTGCAGCGGACTACCTTCACTATCTTATTCTGCTTTGACTTGCATGACTCTCACTGGCCCGTGCAAGTGAGCACTTTTTTCATCTTGGTCTTGTCTATTCCATGCCTTTTTGTGCATCTGAAACCCGCAGCGTACGGCCCTACCGACGGCCCCACGATCAGCTGATGGCCATCCATGTGCAATGACGATTGAATCAAGTTTCGTTTCCACCGCTAAAATTCTTCCAAGTACACTTGGTGCTTCTAGTGCTTCTGGCACTTCGAGTGTTGTTCACAATGAGCCTATTGGTCTCCCCGGCTTCGGTGGCTGTCCGTTGTCGTTTTTCGGCGTGCCCTTTTCTTTGTCTGTAGGCAGCCTCTGGTCCATTCACGAATGGCCCTTCTACTCGCCTTGTTACGTTGCGTTGTTACTTTGTGGCTTGAAGTCGGGCCGCTATAGCCAAAAATGGACGGTTTTGACAACAAAGAAACATGGAAGAAAATAAGACGTGGTGCTAGCCCTTGCTAGTGACCGCTGTCACGTATGTCAAATAAGGTTGGTGCGGATTAAGAGTTATTTTTACTTTTTACGTTTACGTGGAACTGCGCTTACCCCGTATTCTGCCTTCCTGCTTCTGCGTTTCTGCCGGTCCCGGTTGGCTGCTTGGGACCCTGGATCGGCTATGGGAAGGCAGGGCGCTATACGTTTACGAGATGATGGACGACCAGGGTCTCTGCAGCACCTCAGGACAAAGCCACGACTCGTACGGCAAGGTTAGGTCTGAGGAGCGTCTCGCACTACAGATGGTTACATACGACGTCGTCCCCGTACACCATGCCCACTTGGGCGCGGCCCAACACGACTCGGCTGGGATACAGAGTCAGCCGAATGACATCAGAGATATAGGATGCAGTGCCTTTTGCGTCTTGCTCCCGGGACACACGAAAACACGAGAATGACCCCGGTCAAAGCTGGAGCTAGGCTGGGATGGGTGTGAGAGAGCAGATGGTGCTAAGCATCCAATGAGTGTCGTCGACGCCGGATGGGCTGGCTGGGCGATATCGAAAATAGAAACGAGACAAGAACACAAAGCAAGGCCGAGTCGCCAGATGTGTGTGAGAGAACGAGGAAATATACGAGATCATGGTGGATACACATCGACTGTCTCTTGATCGAACTTGTCTATAAAAGACGGACGAAGTCCTCGTCGTCCACTATTCTGTTTCTGATCCTCATCCTCATCCTCATCAATCACACTCACAGCCACAACAACCAACACATCACTTTACCAATCACAACTCGTCCTTCATTCACAACACCACCAAAATGAAGTACTCTACTGCCCTCCTCGCCGTTGCCGCCACCACCGTGGCCGCCGTGCCCTCCAACTCCAAGCGCAGCCAGTGCACCTTTGGCACCTACGCGTGCCTGACAGACGACTCGGGCATCCAGATCTGCGACATTGAGGGCAACTGGGAGCTCGTGGGCCCGTGCCCCAGCGGCACCTCGTGCGAGTATCTGCCGCAGAACGGCTTCGACCTGCCCTTTTGCACGTCGAACCCGACCACCACCGCGACGCCGACGCCGACGCCGCTCAACGGCAAGGCCAAGGCCAAGCGCGGTGCCGACGGCGGCGCCAACTACAACTGGTGCCCGACGCCTGGCACGTACACGTGCGACGGGTGGAACGCCATCCAGGTGTGCAACACGACCAACGGCCTGGAGAAGGTGGGCAACTGCCCGTCGGGCTCGCACTGCAGCTACATCAACAACATTCCCTACTGCGTGGAGTAAACCATCACGCTGTGAGGGCCGCAGGCAGCAGGCTGGGGCATAGCCGTGATGTGCGTTGAATGATGTCGCTTTCTTTTTGATTTTCGTCGTCATCCCTTTGCTTGTTTTGGGTTTGCTTTTATGTTCACAATGGTTCGGGATTATTTGTTACTCGCAGGATGATAGAGTATACGAGCATCACATCAAAATACAAACACTTGACCGGTCAATCAAGCTGCCGACGCCGTCGTCTATGAACTCTATAAACGTAACGTAATAGTATATGAAATCGACCCCCTGTCACGCCTCCCTCTTCTTTGGCAGGGGATAGCCGCCCAGTTCCGCAAACAGCTGGCCCGCCCTGGCCATCAGGTCCGTCACGTCCTCGCCCATCCACTGGCCCACGAGCGCCGCCCGCGTCGTCTCCAGCTCGCGCCGGATGCGGCCGCACGCCAGCACGCAGGTGCCCGTCACCTGCGTGTTGAGCGCCTGCTGGGCGATGACGCCGGCCACGTCGCGGGGCGTGTTGGCCTCGAGCCCGGCGGCCTGCCACGCCTCGGCGTAGCTGGCCGTGATGTGTGTGGGCGTGAAGAAGGGCGCCACGGCGTTGATGCGGATGCCGTGCTGGGTGGCCGTCGCGCGGCACGACCGCAGCAGGCCGACGACGCCGTGCTTCGACGTGATGTAGCCGGCGACGCTGGTGCCGCCAAAGTAGCCCGACGTCGACGCGATGAGCACAATGCTGCCGGCCACCAAGTCTTTTGCGTCTGCATCCTTTGCGTTGTGCTTCCGTTCGTTGCGCCGCATCGTGTGGATTCCCAGGCGGATCGTGTTCAGCGTCCCCTTGATGTTGACGTCCAGCACCTGGAACGCCTCGCGGCTCTCGAGCAGATCGCCCGCCGCGTCGACGGCGTCCATGTCGAGCACCGGCGCCGTCTCCATGATGCCGGCGTTGGCCACGACCACGTCGACGCGCCCAAACGTGGCGACGGCCGTCTTGAACAGCGCCTGCATGTCGGCCCAGTTCAAGATGTCGACGGGCACAAAGACGGCGCGCTCGGGGTGCGCGAGCGACGGGATTAGCGTTTCGGTCGCAGCTGTGCGGGCGCTTGCCAGGTCGGCAATGACGACGTTGGCGCCGTGCTCGCTGAAAAGGACGGCCGTCGCGGCGCCGATGCCGCCGGCTGCGCCCGTGATAATGACAGTCTGACCGGCGGCGGCCGCCAGCACGGCGGGGTCGATGTCGACGTTGGTCGGCATGTTTGATGCCGTCGGTCCAGACGCAGACTCGGCGTCTGATGTAGATCTGGGGACGAGATGGAGACGGCGTTGCGATGTTACGTTGGCGAGAGTCGCACCAGACCGCAAATTGCACAGCAGAGCTGTCGTTTCGTGTATTGGCACTGGTCGTCGTTTGTTGCGTGCACTTCTTTATTCAGTAACGTCCGAGTTCGTTTCGGAGCAATATCACTCTCTGTTTCATCCGTTTGTCGCGGCGAGGAGCACACTTAATACTCATCTAAACTGAACGAGGCTATTTGCTGGTGTACAGGCGCCGACTGCCAGAAGCACTAACAAGATGCCACAGTGTGGGGAATACAGCAGCCCCAGAAGACACTGGGCCTGGGGATGCGGAGTCGTGCCGCCGCCAAACCTCTCCTGTCGCCAACCCCGCACGGCGGACCCCTGTTGCTGCTATTCTGCGACCCTGCACAGCGAATTTTCCCCCGTCCGGAGTCGTCTCAAGTGCCCCGACGGAGGCTGCCAGGGTGGGTGGTATGAATCAGTAGGGGAGAACATGCTGCGAACGTAACAGGGGCTGACCCTTCTTTTGCGCCCGCGCACGTTCGATTAGTCTTTTGATGTGTTGTCCTGTCCATTGGTGGTCTTGAACGATGCCGCCGCGCGGAGCGACGAGACTCCGGGCGTTCAGAGTATTGCGCACAATGTAAGATACAATGTAGGACATCGTTGTGCCTCCCAGAATAGAAAGCAAACCGGACAAAGTGGACAAAACGAGGGTGCCTGGTTGTCTCATACATTCCGAACCAGACGTTCGGATCAGTCGGGAAGGAAATCGTGGATCCAGGACTGGGCACGGCGTGCAGAATCTACTTTATGGCCACAATGACAATGATTTTGGAGGCCCGTCGTGTTGTTCGCGCGTGTGATCGGCATCGTTTGCCCACGTACAATCATTGGTGGTCACATCGGACAAGAAAATTATCACCATAAAACGGGTGTCATTATTATTGAACTCTGTATGTACAATATACTGCCTGTAAAAACAATACCACCAACTGCATGCTACATCGTCCACCCACCTACACCGCCCAGCGCAGCTCGCTGGTGCCGGCCATCTTGGCATTCTTCCGGTGGTAGTGGATGGTCAGCGCAAAGCTGAGGGCCATGGCGAGGAACAGGAAGCCGGCGTTGATGCCGTGGCCGAGCCGGTAGATGGGCGCGTCCTGTGCGCGGTAGATCCAGACGCCGATGATCTGGCCGGGGCCCGAGACGGCAATGTTGAGGCCCGTGGCCAGCGCGCCGGCCGTCGTCGTGCGGGCGTTGTCGCCGACCCAGGCGCAGAGCGCGGGCAGGCCGCCAAAGACGCCCGACGTGGCCAGGCAGAGCATGGCGTAGCGCACGGCGTAGGACGCGCCGGGCAGGGCGGCGAGGACGATGTAGGCGACGGAGCCCAGCATGAAGGAGCCGCCGGCCACGAGGCCGCGCTGCTTGAGCTTGTCCGAGGCGTAGGACGTCGCCAGCGTGAAGACGTAGGCGGCGGCGTAGGGCGGGACGGTGTAGAGCTGGGCCTGCAGGTCGGCGTAGCCGAGGCCCTGGACGATGGTCGGGGCGAAGAGCGAGAGGGAGGCGACGCCGCAGCCCGCGCAGCCGTAGACAAAGTAGTGCAGCCACATGCGCCCGTCCAGCAGCACGGCCTTGGCGTCCTGCCAGTTGATCTTCTCCTCGATGGCGTTGCCGTGGATGCCGAGGCGGCGCGTCTGCAGCGCCTTTTCGTCGGCCGTCAGCCACCGGACCTCCTCGGGGTAGCTGGGCAGGAAGAAGAAGACCAGCACGCCCAGCACGATGGACGGCAGGCCCTCAAAGATAAACAGCCAGCGCCACGCCGGCAGCCCGCCCGCGCCGTTCATGTGGCCCACGCCGTACGCAATGCAGCCGCCAAAGGCGCCCGAGAGCGTCGCGCTGCACATGAACGAGGCGATGCGCGCCGCCCGCTCCTCGCCGCGGTACCAGAAGCTGAAGTAGTAAATCATGCCCGGGAAGACGCCCGCCTCGGCGGCGCCCAGAAAGAAGCGCAGCGCCGTCACGCCGGCCGCGTTGGTGGTGCCGCCGATGCCCGCACAAAAGGCGCCGAAACACAGCACCAGAAACCCGAGCCAGCGCCGCGGCGACGCAATCTTGATCATCAGGTTGCTGGGCGCCTCAAAGATGCAGTAGGCGACGAGGAAGAGCATGAGCGCCACCGTGTACTGGTACGTCGACATGTGGTTGGTCTGCAGGATGTCGTCGCCGGTGTTGGAGTTCAAAATTTTTGCATTGCCTGGGAGCGTTAGCAAAACGAACATACAACGGCCTGGTGGATACTGGCACGACAAGCGTACCAATGTTGGACCGGTCAATGTAACACAGGAGGTAGATGAGGGCCGTGATGGGCAGCAGACGGTAGTCGATCTTGCGGACGATGCGCTTCTCCATGCGCTTTTCCTCGTCGGTCAGGATGGGCGCGTGCGTCGTAGGCTCGACCTTGCCCTGCTCAACGAGGTCGACAGATGCTTCGTTGATGCCGACACTGTCGGCCTTTTCGATGGGAGACATTGTTGTGTTGCGTAGAGGGGGATGAAATGGAACGATAATAGACAGTGTCTTCAATATCTTTCCCAAGAAAAGGAAGATGGAGAAACAGAAAAAAATAAGAACAAAAGAAGTTTGACAGGGAGGCGGAATAAACAAAAAATATAAAGTAATGGAGACTGGGCCTTTGGTAATTCACTTTTAGAGTTGTGACACTGATACACCGAAACTATTATGAAATAACAACGTTTGTGGAGCTATGGACGCAAGGATCTGTCGACTCGCCATGTATGGGATGGATGGGGCCGTCTGGGGAAACAATGAAAATAGCACGTTGCCGCTGAACCGGCATTGACTGCCATGAATTCAAAATGCGGAGAAGTCAGACGTCAGACCGGGGAAAGACTGCATTCCCCAGCGCACCAACACGGTCAAGAAACTAGGCAGCGCCAGGGCCGAGCGGGAAACATAGTCCAGCTAGGTCCAGCTTGGTAATAGACTGCGTGCTGTCTCGTCAGAGATGATTTCGGCAAGCCATCCGATCGAATGACAATGTGTCTGCGGGTATTTCCATTCGCAGTATTTACTAAATTGAAGTCATTACTTTTGTTCCTTTTCTTTGTCGTCTACTTTACGTGCGGCCCGTTGCAAGTGTGTGCCGTTCCCCACGGGGTAGGGCATCGGAGAGATATTGTGGAGGTGGAGTGCATACTCGTAGTTGGCAGGCAAGGAGGCAAGGCAGCACTGTGACGGTGTGGACTAGAAAGAGGATAGCCAAGCCGATAAAGGACTGGGCAAGAGGCGCCTGGACGTTGACCAGAAGAGGAAGAAGGTAAGAAAACTGTGAGACTGACATTCAGACTTAACTGGCAGCGGACCATGTCAGCCTCAAAAAGGTGGAGAATAGACAAGAACAAGACGGAGGACAACGCTTGATCTTAGCTGCACTAACGACTCGGACGTAGCATCACTCCCCGGACATTATCCGGGCCTTGTCACCCCAACCTCACAAGCTGCGAGCTTTGTCTCGTACTCCGTACTAACTACCCCGTCACCCGTCCGCCCGTCTGCCCATCTCCCCCCTCCATTCTTAAACTACTTGGCTTGTTAGATCTGTCCACCCCATACCCAGGTTTGTTGATCCCCCTCATTTTATTACCCCGTCTAATCCTTCGCCTCTGCCTCGTGCCCTGTCCCCATCATCCGGGGGCACTTGGTGTATTCCGTCCCGGAGCTGGTCAGAGATGGTGTGAGGATCGTCGTATTGTATTTCCCCTATTGATGGAAACTACGCACAGTGCGTCACCGCAACAAGGTATGCATTCTCTTCTCATCGCTCGGACAGAGCAACGATGCCCCGGATGGAGTCAACAGGAAAGAAACAACGAAGACCAAGACAGTACAAGCGGCGTTCGAACGTGGAGACGGCCAAGACAGTGCGATATAACTGTCCGTAGACTTGGAGACAAGAGAAACGTGACGAGATGGTTGATGTTTGACGGCGGACGTATGCTCGACTCCAAGGGCCATGGAGGATATAGTTAAACGCGTACCGAATGCGTTGGAGAGCTATGTGTACTTGTAGCGTATCCAAAGTGTCCGCGGTTTCATCAACAATCAAAAACCATCGTCACCATCAGACAGTGCCGCCCTTCTCATAACCGACCACCACCTCCCCTCCCGCAATGGCCACCGTCGACGACTACCCCATCTACCCCGACCTCAAGGGCAAGGTCGCCCTCGTCCTCGGCATCGGCCAGGCCCGCATCCCGGGCGCCACCAACACCCCCACCCCCAGCAGCTGGGGCAACGGCGCCGCCATTGCCTGGATGCTCGCGCACAACGGCGTGGCGCTGTACGGGTGCGACATTGACCTGGCCGCCGCGCAGCACACCGCCGAACGCGTCCGCGCGGCGTTCCCCGCGGCGGTGGTGGCCGTCCGGCGGGCGGACGTGACGAGCGCCGAGGACGTGCAGCGCCTGGTGGCGGCCTGCCTGGCCGCGCACGGCCGCATCGACATCCTGGTCAACAACGTCGGGGCCACGGCCGCGGGCGACCCGGCGACCATGGACGAAGCCGTGTGGGACGCGCAGATCAGCCTCAACCTCAAGAGCGTCTACCTCGGCATGCGCGCCGTGCTGCCGCACATGGAGACGCAGAGCGGCGGCGGCGCCATTGTCAACAATGCGTCGATTGCCGGGCTCCAGTTCCTGGGGAAGCCGCAGGTCGCGTACAACGCGGCCAAGGCGGCCGTGATCCACTTGACTCGCGTGACGGGCTGCCTCTACGCGAACAGGGGCGTGCGGGTCAATGCCATTGCCCCCGGGCTCATGTTTACGCCGCTGGTCGAGCGCATGGTCGCGAGCAGCGACCCGGCCGAGCAGCAGACGTTTGCCAAGATTACACAGCACAATGTGCCCATGGGCCGCATGGGCAGCGCGTGGGACGTGGCGACGGCGGCCGTGTTTCTGGCGAGCGAGCGGGCGGCGGGCTACATTACGTCGCAGACGCTGGTGGTGGACGGCGGCTTGACGAGCTCGACAGGGACGGGATTTGAGCAGTGACCGAGGAACATGCGACTGCGTACGGGAGTCGTGTAGATACAACCTGGGCGTTGCTGTTCTCTAGATTTTCACATGGACATATTCTTGTTGAAAGAGGGCCCCGAAAACCTCATTGTCTCAACTGCAAATCGCGAGCCGTCGTTGGGGGCCAAGCTCAGCGACTGCACGGCCTTGTGTAAGCGCTAAAAGGTGGCGGCGTCGTACGGCCCGTACGGTTTAACAGGAAGACGGTTTGCTGGATAGTCTGTGCTATAGTCCGGTACTTCGGTCGGGATAAAAGGGCCGCTCGTTTGTACCGTAAATAAAGGTTCAAAGGCGGTATACCGGCTTTTAAGTAAGAAGATAAGCAGGCGAGGACCGGTAAGCCCCGAGGATAGTACGGAGATGCATTATAAAGAGTGCTTTTTAAAAGAGAAGAAGCGAAGTAAATACAATTATCATCTGTAGAAAATGTAAAGACAACTTCTTCGTTATCGTCAGCGGATGCCGATGTTTTCGGAGCCATGTCTCGCCGGATGTTGGGTTGCAAGTTGCCGTGTCTCCAGCAGTTATTTGGGTCGGGGTCTAGCTCGAGAACTTCTGGCGGGTTGGAAGGTTTATATGTACAGTGTTGGGGAAGCGAGAGATGTGTAACTGTAAACCAAAAAATATTAGGCAAAATGTTATTTGGGAGGCAAGGTGGTAATGATCATAGTAATTCATACTCAGCCGAGGACATGAAAAGGGAATGGCCCGCGCACTTGTCGAAAAAGGGCAGTGAACCTTGTGGAGAAGCTGGATCCGTAGAGAGATTGCCGTACCTGTGCGCAAAGCGTGGGAATAGTACCTGAAAAGAGCCAGACTAGAAGCTCGATTCATCATTGCTGCCAATCGTGTAGTTGGCTGATTGCGTCCACTGCCTACAGAGAAGGCAGGTTCAACAGCGCTGTGTTCGTGTACTTGAAACCCAGTAACCCTCGAACCGCTGCCCGTATATGTCTTCTTTGTGCTTCCATTGGTGCTGGTCTCTTGCCGTTTTGACCGCCTTTCGTAGCTAGAATTTTTCAGGAGTCTTTGTTCGCGTAGTCGATCTCGAGGCTCGAGCGGGCGTGCCGGCTCGCGATGGAGCAGGGAGCACACGAGAGCACATCCAGTAAGCTGGATTTTACTCGCCACAGCTCGGTAACCTGAGGGCCAAGCAACCTAATATACAATGGATAAACATTATTTGTGAACCTGGTGCTTCTCTAGACACTCCTCCCTGGATATACCTGCAAATCAGATGCGTTCGGCGCTGTAGAGCGAGTCTACGGACGTACGGTAGAAGCCACAGGAGACGCAGCGTCAGATGCTTCTCGTAAATCTCCACCTCAAACTCTAACCACTACATTTGTCCGATAGTGCGTTGGCATACCCTTAAGCTATGCGTAGAAGAAAGATTAGGAACGGTGGCAGCTTACAGATTCGTAGGTTAGTTTTAATTTCCTTGACGATCACGGGACGGGTCGGGGGGGATGATTAACTAAAACATACAGTCAGACGATGCTATCGAATTTATTGTATGTCCGTAATTCGTAGAATCTCACCTTCATTGTAATTGCCTCCCTCCTGGGATTTATCCTCCTAGCCCCTGAATTACTGGGCAACGTGTAAAACGTCCATGATGAAGCCCGTAACCAGTCCTTCTCACAAATGCCCCTGTCTGACTAAGACGGCACGTGACTACACACCCGTTGCCGTACCGGGATTAACGGTCCGTTTATCTTACTCCACACAACATCCAGCCCATCTGTTCGCTGTACATCAAGTGTTTAGCCTTGTTCATAGCTAGCCTGTCCTCATCTCCATTGCAACTATGGAGACAATCGACGAAATAAGGCAGGAGCTTGAGAATCAGCGCCGCCGCACCGAAGTAGCAGAAGCCCGCGCGCTCGCCGAACAACGACAACGCGAAGAAGCAGAGGCCCGCGCGACGGAACTGGAGAACAAACAGTCATCGTCGTCCTTTCTCGACTATGTTCGCTGGACCGAACAAGTCTTGTTTCAGACATTTCACGTCAAGCCGGCGTTGATGCCGCAGAGCCAGAGCCACAGCCAGAGCGAGACCACCGGCACCGCGTCGGCCTGGAAATCCTACACGGCAACGCGCGTCAACGGCAAATTCTATCCCCGGTGTCTGCGCCCGTGGGACTTTCAGACCACCCACTCTTCTCTGTTCACGACGCTCGTCACCGCATTTGGCGAGGAGAGAGCGTTCCCGGCACTGACTGACATCCTCGGCGTTAGTCGCGACCTCAGTCCGGGGCCGGTCGACGAGCAAGACCTGCGACCCTTTATCCGTGCCGCCATTGAGAAGCCGGCTGCGCGTGTCGTGACGGAGTATATCCAGCGGATGAAAAAAGATAACGAAAACAACGACAACGATCGAGATTTTGTGAAAATCACCTTTCAAAACAACCCTTACGGGCTCGATCTTGCCCAGGAAACGGCCCTGGAAGTGGCCCAGGAGGCTACTCAAAATACACCGTCACCAGAGCCACCAGTCGCCGTACCCCCACCAGCAAAGCGGCGCCGGTCGCCCGTTAAAACAATCGGCGTGCCTGACCGCTGGTGCGTCGGCCTCGGCCATGACGGAGGCGCAACACACATCCTCGTCGGCGAATACAAGGCCGCGCACAAACTACCGGCCCAGAAGCTTAACACAGTGTTCTCGAAGCCACCGGACGAGGACTTCTTTATCCAGGCCGTGAATGGCAAGGGTGTCAACCCGGAAGCAGCTCTAGGCCCGGCTTTAGATACGCCACCAACTACCAAAGCACGCGCCGCGCCAATTACAAGTGACGAGCGACAACTGACGCCGGAAGACGTGTATATCGCGTGTGTCCTCTGCCAAGCGTACCACTATATGATTACGGCAGGCCTCGAATTTGGCTACGTGGCCTCAGGCGACGGTTTGGTGTTTCTCCGAGTCCTTGAAGATGACCCCCAGACGCTTTACTACTTTTGGTCCATCTTTCCTGTTCCGGCGCCGGTTCTTGGGCAAGCACCGGAAGCGGATGTTACCGAGGCAGAGAGTACCAGCATCGCCATTCGCGAGCCGAACCAGACAGCTCTATCATATCTCGCTAGCCTGTGTATGCTCGCCATCAAGTCGCCTGTGCGGCCAATGTCTTGGATTGACGCGCGCGATCTTGATCTTTCACGGTGGCCCAACCCGTATAATAAGGCGCTGCCTCTCACAATGACGACCGCTCTCTTACCTACGCCTCAAAACCCTCACAGGGACGATGAGGACGGCAACGGAAATAGTACCGGGCCAGGACAAAGGGCAAGGGGCGGCACCGGTCGTGGCGGTAATAGTGGAGAAAATTCTCACAGCAGCGTAAAGCGGCCGCATTCCTCGTATACCTCTGGCGGCAGCGGCGGTGATGGTACCGGCAGCGGGACTACAAGACGCAAGCACTGGGCCGTTCAGCTACCGACGCTACCCTACTGTACACAAGGCTGCCTTCACAGCCTCCGCACCGGCGCGCCTCTCGATGGCCTCTGCCCAAACGTGGCGCTGCACCGCGCGGCAAGGCCACCGCAGGCTCAAGGGGACGGCCACCCACTCACCGCCACCGAGTTGTGCGCGGGCATTGTGGCCCAGCTGGCTCAGAACATGGACAAGGACTGCCAGTGTCTGGACAAATGGGGCTTTTTCGGTCGCTGCGGCGTGCTATTTAAGCTGACCCTTTCCGGCTACGGCTATACCTTTGTCGCCAAGGGCGTGCAGGCCCCACACCGCCCCATCTTGGAAGGAGAGGCCGCCGTCTACACAGCCTTGGCAGCCTACCAGGGACGGCTTATCCCTGTGTTCCTCGGCATTAGTGACCTCGAGCGACCTATGCCGTTGCAGAGCCTCGCGCGCATACCGCACTTAATGCTGCTCTCCTACGCCGGGCCACCGCTGCCGGCTAACAAGGACTGTGTCACCGAGGCGGCCCGCACAACCGCCGAACTGGAAGCGGCTGGCCTGTGTAATGATGACATACACTTGGGCAACATGACTTGGAACGAGGAGGTAGGCCGCATGATGCTGTTCGACTTTGACCAGGCGCGTATACGCACAGTTCCGCAGCCGCAGCCGCAGCCGCAGATGTTGCACTCGTTGAAGCGAGGTTCCATTGCATACCGAAGAGATGAAGGCGAGGGCGGAACGCCCCCAAACTCGAAGCGCATACGGATTATCAGTGCGTAGTTGGGCCGGATGGCAAACCGTACGTCGGTTTGAGAACGAGGGAAATTATCAAAATAAAGTATCTATTCGTACCACGCGCTACTTCTGGAAAAGAAGTTGATAAAAATTGAAATAAAGTGAAATCAGTTTTTCGGGTGGTATATTGAGCTGATCTTTGCGTTTACTTTGGCCGATCTTTAATCATGAAACCTATCCTTGACCATCGCTCATTATTTGTGCCATCGTCAACTCCTGCCATTGTTCATTACCCCGTATCTCCCCCTCGCCCACTTGATCCATTGTCATCTTCCCTACAGTTCATGCAAGGACCCTCTCCGTGACGACCGTGTGTTGCGCTGGTAGTCTGTCTCGTCCGCCAGCCCATGTGCAGATGCGGTACCCCCGACGTTGGCATTTGGTGGTGAAAGCGTGCCGGCATCCATGTTGCGTCCGGTCGCCAATGGGCCCTCTGCGTCCTCGGTATTGCTGTCGCCCAGGACCGATGTCGTGGTGGTGATGGCCGCCGGCGGCGCGTGGTCGTCTCGCAGCGCCGACACAATCTCGAGCTCGCGCGCCACCGACGGGCTCATGGGCGCGTAGCGCTCGAGGACGCCAAAGGCAAAGAGGCGCCAGGTCGCAAACGTGGGCGGCACGAGCGCGCGCAGTGCCGGCACGGCGGACCGGTCGAGCGTGTGCAGCAGGAGGAGCATGCCGAACAGCTGCGTACAGATGAAGAACTTGAGGTACAGGCAGTCGGGCACGTTGAGGGTCGGCTGGATGATGGAACACCAGCGCACGGCACACGCGAGGGCGTCGCGGCACTTGTCAAAGTCGGCGGCCGACATCCAGTCCGGGTGGTGGAGGGCGCGGTGCAGCAGGGGGCGGCGCAGGTGGTAGCGGGCGATGCAGTAGCGGGCCTGCAGCCAGGGGACGACAAAGACGTTGGCGGGCGTGCGCGGGCCCTCGAACGGGGCGGTCGGGTCGGCATAGCGGTGCTTGTCGTCGTCGTCCCACTGCAGGTAGTTGGGCAGCTGCGCGCGCCACTGCTCGAGCTGGTGCGTGAGCTCGTCCTCCAGTGCCTGCGGCGGGTAGTCGGACCGCGCCATCGTGGTGGCCTGCGAGGCGGCCTCGATGGTCTGGCCCGACGCCAGGGCCTTGCCGCGGTTGGCAAACAGGCTGTCGCACAGACGGGTCAGGATGATGCGGTGCGCAATCTGCGAGAGAAAATGGTAGTGGCAGAACGCGTCCTGCTCCTCTTCCTGGGACACGTGCTGGCCGTTGGATGCGCCACCGAGACCGTGCGGGCCCATCCCCATCCCCATCCCCATCCCGGACGCGAGCGACGCAAACGAGGACACGCCCGGGAACGCGACAAACTTGGGCAGCGGCACGCGGTCTTCGTAGTTGAGCAGGTTCGAGACGGGCACGTCCAGCTCCTGGGTGAGGACGGCCTCGAACATGGCCGTGATCCAAAACAGCCGCGCCTGCATGTCCATCGTCCACTCGTCGCAGTCCTTGGGGGCACACGCCCAGAAGCTCGTGCAGCACGCGGCCGCGCGGCTCACGTGGGCCCACCAGTCGAGCGGCCGAATCCGCTGCGCGTAGAAGAGACCGCACAGCAGGTGGTACTGGCAGGCCTGCAGACTGCTGTCGCAGCCCAGCATCCCGATGCGCTTGCGCGCCTCGTTGAAGAAGACGAGGCCGTCGTCCCACGCGTCGCCGTCGTCCGGCCCGTCCGCGGCGGTCGTGCCGTTACCGTGGGGCGGATCGTACGGGGAGGCGGCCATGCCATGGGCGTCGACAATACCGGCTTCGCGCTGTGCCTTGCGCCCCAGCACGCCGAGGGCCATCGTCACCAGCACAATGCAGCTCTCCATGTTGACGCCAAAGCCCGTGCCAATGGCCACGCCGAGGCTGTGCTGGTGGAAGAGCCGTCGGTCCAGGACCGGGTTGCCCAGGTTGAACGTGGTAAAGTACTTGTCGCCCAGGTCCTTGACGACGGCCACATTGAGCTGCGCCAGCCAGTTGTCGCCGCTGCCGCTGCTGTTGTGGCTGTGGCTGGACAGCAGCAATGGAGGAAAGGGCAGGGGTGGCCGTCGCTGCTCGAGGACGGTGGCGGCCGCCGCGTCGTACACGTAGGTGCTGTCGTGGCTGTCGGCCGTCCAAAAGCCATTGTTGTGGCTGCTGCGTCTCCTGCTCCGGTTGCTGTCGCTCGCAACGCCGCTTTTGTGCAGCAGATCCCGTATGGCCGGCCAGTTGGCAAGCTGCCGGATCGGATATTGGATCACGGGCACGTGCCGTGGCCGTCGGGGAGGTGGAGGCTGGGGATTGGGGTAAGACGATGGACTGGCCGCCGACAATAGGGCGTGGATGCCGTCGCGGCTTTGCGTGCTGCCGGCCGACGGCGAGGCCAGGCTGACGGCCGGTGGCTGGGTCGACGGGGACGGCAGGGCCACATGGGCAGCCTGCACTTGCGGCCGTGGTGCCTGTCCCACGCTCGATCTTTTGCGGCCGCGTTTCCGTCGTCGCTGTTGCTCGTGTGCTGCTTGGGTGTCGTCAATTCCCTCTCCATCTCTCTCTCCCTCATCCTGTCCCGCTCTCTCGTCGTCGTCGGCCTCGGTGCTGCTGCCCCGCTGCCGGCCCTCTTCAATCTTAGCCTCGATCCGCTGCAGCGTGTTGAAGATCATGCCCAGCGACACCTCATTCTTGGTGGCCTTGCGCTCGGCATATTTGCACTCGAGCCCGCCCGTTCGACACAGCCCGCACGGGTGCCCGCCATCGCAGCGTGTCTTCTTTTGCCGACAAATCTCGCACGCCTGCCGCGCAATAAACAGCCGCTGCCGCTTGGGGGCCACCGTCTCGTCAATCTCCGGGGTGTCGGTGCCCCAGACGGCCTGCATGGTGAAGAGGAAAACAAAAGGGCCCAACTGCCCGCGGCAGCGGGCAATCGAATAGCACAAACGCCAACTAGCAATACCACTTGTCAATGCACAATGGTACGGAAGACCATCCAAAAGGTGCTGGACGTCTGCTGTAGCCGTGTTTACCTGCCACCCGGTGTGTTGTTGCGCTGGTGGGAAAGCTGTGTTTTTGGTGTTGACTCAAGGAGTTGCACAGGTCGCCCCGGATGGGGCTCCAGTTTATATGTCTGATTTTGGCAGGTGCCCACTATTCGGGAGCAGTCACATGATTTATCTCGTACATTGACAGCGTTTGGCTCACCGCTGACTTTTAGTCACGTGCTATATCACGCTTCGTGAACAGTTCAATGCCCTCCCTATTTGTTTCCTTGCTTCTATTCATACAAGACGTTTTTTTTATTACAAGTACATAATAGCAAGTTATTCAGCGTCCAGACAATCCATACTATGTCTGTCCTTACACAGCGTCGTACCAGTCGCCTTCGTCCCCGCCCACCACATCGTCGGCCACCTCGGCCAAGTCGTCCTCATCAAACACCACAGCCGTCTCGCGCCGCGTGACGCCGTCGGACAAGGGCGGCCGCACAAACATGTCGTCAAACGCAATCACCAGTGGGCCGCCGTGGATCTCCCAGTAGGTGTGCATGGTCGTGGCCCGTCCGGCCGCCGCCGCCAGACGGTCTGCCAGCTCATGTCCGCGGAATTGCACGGTGCGCACCTCGGGCTCCTCGTGCGGGCTCGTAAACTTGGCAATCTGGACCTCTCTGTCGTCCATGTTGGCGTACACGACAATGACGACCCGGACTCTCTTCTCCGAGGTCGTGAACCACCAGTGCACTTTGTCCTCCAGCGTCTGGCGCGAGCCGCTCAGGTGCGTTTCGATGATGAGCGTGGGCCAGTACCCGGGGCGTTCCGCTGGGTGCTGCCGCAGACGCTGAAGCGGCACCAGCATGTTGTCGGGCTCGGCCGTGCCTCGGAGGAAGACATTTTCTTCGCCGTAGTGTCCATAGACTTCGTAATCGTCTCGAGCAGGGCACAGTCTTTGACAAAGAGGAGTTTCTGAGCTGCAGCTGGCGACGTTGTTGGCGCTGTTTATGTCATCGATGCTGTCGTTGTCTTCGTCCTCGACAGTATTTATGCTGCTTATCCCGTCGGACATACTGTCGTTGCCATCCTGGGGTATGTCCAAGCTGCCGGAATCGCAGTGGTCGATTCGCTGCGCCTCGCGGTTGTGGTCCTCCATAACATAATCGCCCGCATCGACACAGCCACCATACCATGGTGGAGCAAAGTGTTGCATCCCTTCGCGGGCACGGCACGCCCAGGGTCCGTGCCAGGACACGGCGCCGCCACTGCCGTCTACTTTGATGTAGCCAGTGGGCACGCCCATGGCCGAGAGTTTGATGGAGAGCGCCATCCGGAACGCTTCGGTCGCCGTCTGGCGCCCACGTGTCACTCTTGTGACATGCAACCGCTGCAGCGGAGGCCAGTAGTGGAATCGAAACGCTCGAGTGCCGCCGTACCTCTCACGTGCTTCCTCGATGGCCCGCATGGCCGAGTAGGGGACGTCTTCGACGATCATGGAATCAGTCTCGTTTGCATTTGCCGTCTGAAATAAACCTTCGGCGCCAAAGTAAGTGTAGATGGAGTCCATTGTGATTGTGATTGGGATTGGGATTCTGGAATGTCGCTGCTATTGCATTTTTTTTGGTTTTCGATATGTAAATTTGAAATGGGTGAAATTGTTCATGACGGGTGTAGTTGTAAGTGGAAAGAACATATCTACAACAAAGCGGTAAGTAAAGAAAATTGGAAATTAATAAATTCCTCCTGTACCATAAAGTTCCGTTTTTAAAGCCTGACTCAGATATGTTGGTTTGCTGCGGTATGCTAATAAGGTTCATGATGACATATGCACCTGATTATGTGTGCGCTTGGTCAACACGATGAATAATAGCCGTGGCCGTTACACTTTTCGATAGCATGGAAGCAGTGGCCCATGTTCTCATCAATACTTAGTTGCTTATCCCATTCCTCAGCATGTGACCTTTACTGTTTCGCAGTAAATATTGGCCACCAAATATTGCAGATGATCTCGACGGTGTTACCTTTCTTTCTTTATTTTTATTTACTTGAATTTGAAGATTTTCGTCTTACTTTGTTGTTACTTAATTTCGGTGACTTCATAAGGAGGTAGAGCGAGAAATATCTAACTTGATTCACTCGTACTCAGACAAGATATCTTGCCAAATGGGTGACGGCATCTTCCTTTTCCCACGTCCTAATCTCCTTGTTCAGACCCTCCTCCAACTTCCGCGCCACAAATGACTCTATCAACCCTTTCTGCTGCGTTGTCATTGCAGCCACACGCGCCTTGTGGTCCTGGTCCTCACTGGGCCCAAACAAGTCCTCGTCGAGGTACTCCCACCACAGGAAATCAAAGGCCCACGAGCGCCGGGCCGCGTAGTTGCGTGTACGGGCTGGGTCCATAAGTACCCGCGACAGGTTCTGGTGGTGGTCGATGTAGTCCATAATAATAATAGGGCCCAAGCCCAGCGGGTTGTCGGCGGCCATGCCATAGTGGTACACATGCGGAACGGGAATCGTCGTGTGGGCCTTGACGAGCCGTATCGTGGCCACCTCGTACCGGACTTTTCGTCTTGGAACGGCACCGTCTCTAGCAAACACGATTTAGAAAATGCAAACACCAAAGTGAGACACACGCCAAGCCTGCCTACCTTTGATTGGGATCCGCATAATAACGGACGAGCCATCTTTGTATTCGAGGCGGTACGCAATGTTGTACGCACCCTTGAGGGCGAGTACCACTCGTCGATGCGGTCATCCAGCTTCTCCCATACAAGGTCGTCCTTGTCGGCACAGGTTCGTCTCGGTTTGGACGGCATTTTGGGACGGTCCTTGAAGCAGAGAACAGAGAGAGGTGATGTCGGAGGCAATGAGTTGGCTTGTGTCTTCTTGAGATTTACCTTCTTTCGCCGATTCTTGTGTCGAAAAAGGTCAAGGCCTTCGAGGAAACGCCCAGTTATCAAGACACCATCGTCACTGGAAGTATGAGCTGAAGCTCGTTTCCGCTGCGAATATGGGCGCGTAAATGAGGGGCGACATGGGCGGTGGACTGAAACGGCTTCTAAACATAAGTCATCCTTGCTTGAGCATTCCACGTGCCGGAAACAAAAGCTGATATGGAAAGGCTCAACGTACTGCGACCAGATTACTCTGTCTTATTTCGAACTTCTGTGAAAAGCAGAGGCCGTTTGTTGTGTTACTGTTGTTTCGCAATATTTTTTCGATGGCCACATTTCCCAGCAGTGGATTAAGCGCCTTTCATACCGGTGCAATCTCAGGCGGCTTCAGATTTCTCCATCAACGAGAACAATTGGCTATTGTTCATGTAAAAGCAAACAAGATAGGCGCACAAAGTCACCTCCGTCATGGTACAAGGTCAGCCTTCTGGTCCGAATAAGCCATCGTAAGAGTTGCCGAGCCAAGAGACCCGGTCGTAGCCGGTGCGTTACATTAGCTGGTGACTCCGGTCAACAAGGTGACCTCGACGATGCGGCCGTACAGGATAATAGGACGTGCGCTGGAGTGCCTTTTGGCGCCACAATTGCATATATATGTGTTTGTGTTACTTTGAACCACACTTTTTTGACCATGAATATCATTTTATTTTGTTCCACGTTTCAGTAACATTCCGCAGCGGTCGCCTATGCATACGGCATCAAGCCTTCTTGCTGGGCCTTGATTTGCAGCGCCAGGAAGCGGCCAAAGTACCGCGCCAGCGCCAAGTTGCCGCCCATGTACCAGTATCCCGGCTGCCCGCTGCCGCGCCACATGGTCCGGAATTCGCCCTCCTTGTCGAAACCCCACACGTCGCGCGTCGCGGCCGCCAGCCTGTCGCCAAACAGCACCCGGGTCTGCGTGCGCATGTTCTGGTAGCCTGTGGCAAACACGACAATGTCGGCGGGCAGGTGCGTGCCGTCGGCCAGGTCGAGGCCCGTGGGCGTCACCTGCTGGATGCCGTGGCCGGACTTGACCTTGATCTTGCCGTCGATGATCAGCTGGCTCGCGCCCACGTCAATGTAGTAGCCGCCGCCGCGCTGGAAGTACTTGAAGAAGAGGCCGGCGCCGTCGGTGCCGCGGTCCAGCGCGAAGCCGGCCTTTTGCAGCCCTTCGAGCAGCGTCGTGTCGTGCTCAATCTCGAGCTGCGTCGCCTGCACCTGCACGGCCTTGGACAGATTCGTCGGGACGCTCCACAGCAGCAGGTCGGCGTCGTCGACGGGCAGCTTGGCCTGCACGGCCTCCGAGTACAGCGCGCCCAGGCCGATGTCGACAATGGCCTTGGACGACACCACGCACGTCGACGACCGCTGCACGATGGTGACGTCGTAGCCGTTTTCGTACAGGTCCTGGGCAATGTCGTGGCCCGAGTTGCAGGAGCCGACGACGACGGCGCGGCGCACGGCGTTGGGCGCGGTGTTCTCTGGCGGCGGCTGGGCACCCGGGAACTCGGAGCTGTGGCACAGCAGCTCGCCCTGGAATGAGTCGATGCCCGGCACGTCGGGCATGTTCTTCTTGCCCGAGTGGCCCGTGGCCTGGACAATGTGCTGCGGGTGGAAGCTGCGGGTCTCCTTGGCACCCGTTGTCGGCACGACGCGCTCGACGGTGACGTTGTAGCGCTTGGCGGCCGCGTCGTACTCGAGCGACTTGATCTCCGCGCGCGTCCACACGTTGAGTTCCAAGAGGGCCACGTAGGCCTCGAAAAAATCGGCCAGCTTGTCCTTGGGCGTGAAGACAGGCCAAAAGGCCGGGAACGGCATGTAGGGCAGGTGGTCGAACCAGACGGGGTCATGAAGCACGAGCTGGCGGTATCGCTTGCGCCAGTTGTCGCCGACGCGCTCCTCGCGGTCGACCACGAGCGTCTGGACGCCCAGCATCTTGAGGCGCGCCGCCAGCGTCAGGCCACCCTGGCCCGCTCCTAGGACCAGCACGGACGGCTCGGCCACCGTGAAACTGACGTCTTCGTCCCGCTGCTCGCGCCAGTTCTTCATGTTGCGGCCGCCGCCGTGGCTCGCGCCAAGGGGTCGCCGCGCGCCGAGCAGCTGCTCATAACCAGTCAGCTCTTGCAGCGCCGTGTAAAAGGCGTAAATCTTCCACAAGCCCGAAGAAGAATCGTGGATCAGGCGTGCAATGCCGCGGCCGGTGCCGACGGAGCTGGCAAACGTGGTGTACACGACGACACAGGGGCTCTTGCCAAAGGCGTCCAGGGCACCGACGGCCGGCACCCGCTGGGGCTCTAAGTCGTCGACGGCGAATCTCTCAAGCTTCTGACCGGCCGAGGAGACACTCAGGAAATCGGCAATCTTGGCGGGGCCCTGAACGGTGCGGAAGTTCCACGACACGCCCAGGTGGTCGCGCCACTGACCCTCCTCAGCAAATAGTGCGCCCACGCCCTTATAGTCCTCGGCGGCGAGGCGCTCGTTGACGGCAGCGATTGTGTCGGTGGCAACTTTGCGGACGTCGGTACCCTCGGGGACGGCAGACGTGGGGAAGACGGCGGGCACGACATTGAACGAGTCTTTCTCGACACGGTTGTCATGCGGCAGCCGGTCGGCCAGCGGTACAGCGGAGGAGCCCATGTTGCATACGAGCGCGCGTCTGTGTGTGTGTGTGGCGTGGTTGTGTGTATATGTCTGTGTGAGAGGACTTGAATTGTTTTGATGCTTATATATCAGGAGGGGAGGCGTCCTGTGGGGGGCGTAAAGTACTTTGTGGGAGAGAGAACGAAAACGGGAATTCCGACGGACTCAACAGCCGAAGCGGGAGTGACTAGAAGGTACCGGAATTGGCGTGCCACCGGGTCGTTATTTCCTGTTGTGAACGTTGAAGCTCCTATTTTAATGTACAAGAGGTTGGGCAAATGTCTTGTGTCACCACGTGCCCCTCAAGCCTATTCTACGCCCAAGGCAAGCACGTTTCGCCTTTCCTGCCTGATACGTCAAGCTAAGCCAGTCACCGTTGCCCCGATTCCGCAGCGGGCACGGAGAGCCGGAGCGGAGAGCGGATCTGACCCCACAGTGAGGAGGATGAACGGCTGGTGGTGTTTGTAGTGCGGTGACGAGTGTGGGCTGACAGAAACAGACAGGGGAGAGAATTAGGGCAGTGTGTAGCAGAGTAGAGGCGAGAATGCAGCTCGCGTGCAGGGCGGAAATAGATGAATATTCGGGGAAGGAGGGAGCGGAGCCGCATTGGACTTTGGCGACGACAACGGCAAGAAAATGACGGACTGGGGAGCTTGAGCTGGAGATATGGAGAAATCTGGGGTTCCGGTCTGGCGGAAGGTAAGAGTGCCAACTTCACTAAACAGCAGGTGATTTAAAGGACCATTTCTCTAACAAGAGTCACTGCACGACAGACAAGGGATGCCCGGCCGGTAGGTGCTTTTGCACTGGAAATAACAAGTTGTCCAGGACGAAATGAGGGGAAGCCATTGTACCTTGAGAAGACGCACCGATCGTGCGGGGAGACTATCCTTTGTCCGACGGGTTGAGATCTGGCGAGCACGGAGGATTTCGTAGATTCCACCCAGGGACAGTGCATATAGTGTATTAGCGCACTGTCCGATACCTCTCCATATCTGACAGCTCCTTGGGTGGGGCAAAGCGTTGTAGCTGTGGGTGGTGAGAATTGAGTGTTTCGTGAAGAAGAGCAACGGACGGAGAACGACGGCAGAAGTGAGGCAAGAGAGCAACTACAAAGCAGCAGAGTACTGAAGTAGGAGCGAGGAGTCTGCCGTCAACCCCCAGCCTCGAACATCAGTTGTTTGTTGCCTGCTGCTCCCTCCACCCCTTTGTGTCTGGTTCCTGGATCTCACTCCAAACACGGATCCGATATAGGATGAGCCGCAGCTTGACACGCGCCTTTCGCCTAGCCACACCAATCCGACCTCCCTTCGTCCGATTCACGCCTGTTCACTGTACTTCCATTCGCCGTGCATCCAAAATCACTGAGCCGCCCATAATGTCACAAGGTTGGTCTCCATTTCTCGTGACAGTCTCTCTCTTTTTGGGTTTTGTGTGGTGCACCGATCTCCCTACTGACAACGGTTTCAGCTACCACCGCTGCGGCACCTGCGGCGCTCGAGACGCCTGCGGATCTCGTCGACGTCTTCCGCCGCGCCGAGGCTGCCCTGAAGCCCACGATCCTGGGCCCCGAGGACCGCTGGTACATTGTCGTCATCTCGTGCCTGGTCGCGGGCCCGGATCCGGAAGCCGCCGCGCACCTCTACGCCCATCTCGTGGCCCAACCTGCGTACGCCACGTCGGACGCCCGCAAGGCCCTCGTGCGCCGCCTGCGCGAAGCCCTCGTCAAAGCCGTGTCCATTGTCGGCGTCTGCAAGCCGCTCGAGGCCATCCTGGCCATCAGCGCCATCGAGCGGCCCGAGGACAAGGACTACTCCGAGACGCGCGCCGGCTGGCAGTGCGACGACGCCAACCTGGACCGCGCCATGGCGTGGTACGCCAAGATCTACAAGCACAACGCGTCCGACACGCTGGGGCTCTTTGACGCGCACAAGGACTTTGTCTGGCTGTCGAAGCACATCACGTACGGCCTGTACCTCGGCGACCGGCAGGTGCTCGACGACCTGGACACGGAAATGGTCGTCTTCCCGGCCATTATGTCGCAGAACCTCAAGACGGAGACGTGGTGGCACATTCGCGGCACGCGGCGCGTGGGGGTGTCGAATGCGGACACCAAGGTGCTGTACGACGTGATCAAGGACGTCAACGCGCACTTTGGCGTGGACCTGAACAAGGTGCCGACCGTCGACGACGTGGAGCACGACGTGTGACGGCGACAAACTGGCGAGGGGATGTCGATAGACTCGGTCCATGCATGCATTGGCGTTTGCGATTAGAGGAACCTACATGACCAGTTTAATGTACATGGTGCTCTATTGCATCTGACATGATACTGTATATAAATAAAGAGAAGTATTATTCTACAGACACACTTCTAGCTAGAGCGAACAAAAAGCACAGCCGAAAACGCCTCTACCATAATAAACCACTAGAACTGGCAATTAGTTTGAGCCTGTCACAACAGATGGCAGAAAGGTCTTCCAGGACGCAATGAGGCGACGCGTCTCCTCGGGTCTCTGCCGGGCGACGTAGGCCGCCGCAATCGTCGAAACGGCGGTGCCCAGGAGGAACAGTCGAAGCAGGGTGCGCAGTGACCTGCGTTTGGACGTCTTTGGGCCCTAGCGAGAGAATATACATTAGCGTGTGCAAAACAAGACGAGTGGATGCACTGCGGACAGTGTGGACATTGTGGTCATGTGGACAATGCGTGTATCCAACGTACCGAGTATGTCCAGTGGGACCAGGTCGGGAACAGGCAGCGGTACCAGTAGTGGATCTGCGAGTAGGGGTAGGTCATGCCGTTCCACTTCTTGCCCTCCTTGCCCTCCTTGCCCGGGGTGCGGTCGAGATACCAACTCTGGCAGCCCGAGTTCCAGACGGTGTTGGCCAGCGCGTCCTGGATGCGGCGCACGTACTGCTCCTCGGCCGACCGCTTGACGTCGACCTGGGTGCCCTCGCCGTCGAGCAGGGGCTTGATGATGCGCAGGGCAAAGTTGATGGAGTTTTCGGCGGCCATGACGGCCGAGGTGTGGCCCGTGGCGGAGTTGGGGCCGAGGAGGATGAAGAAGTTGGGGAACCCGCTGAGCGACGTGCAGTTGTAGGCCTCGGGGCCGCCAAAGGCCTGCCAGTGCGCCGGGAGGGTCGTGCCGCCCTCGCCGACGACCGTGATGCCGGTCAAGAAGTCGCTGGTCTGGTAGCCGTTGGCCAGGACAAGCACGTCGGCGGGGACGACGCCGCTCTGGGTGCGGACGCCCTCGGGCACGATCTCGAGGGCCTTGTCGTTGGTGAGGGTGAGATTCGGCGCGTGCAGGCTCGCGAGGTAGCCCGTGTCGAAGATGCGGCGCTTGCAGCCGACCTCAAAGTCGGGCACCAGGATGTCGTGGTATTGGGCGGGGGCGGTCGACCGCATGTAGGTCTCGGCCTGGCGGCGGCGGCGGCGGCGGAAGCGGGCGCCAAGGTCGGTCATGGGGAAGCCCAGGAGGTCGATCTCGGCGATTGTGAACACCAGCAGGCGCGCCAGGGCGGTGCCGATGCCAAAGGGCAGCCTGCTGGCCACGGCACGCATGCTGCGGGCGCGGTAGTCGTCAATGCTCGGCAGGATCCAGTGCTTCGAGCGGACGATCTGCGTGAGGTGCTTGGTCTTGCCCACAATCGACGGCACGATCTGCGCGGCCGTGCAGCCGTTGCCGATGAGCACGACGTTCTTGTCGGTCAGGTCGATGTCGTGCCGCCAGCGGGAGGTGTGGAACATGGCGCCCTGGAAGGTCTCGGCGCCGGGCACGTCGAGCTCGCGCGGGTGGACGAGCTGGCCGGTGCCGCCAAAGAGGAACTGGCACTCGTGGTAGGAGACGGTGGCGGCCTTGTTGTGCCGAATGGTCATGCGCCAGCGGCTGGTCTCGGGGATCCAGCGGCACTCTTCGACGGTGACGTTGAACACCATCTTCTCGGGCAGGTCGTACGTGTCGGCCACGCGCTTCAGGTACGCCCACAGCTCGTCGCTGGGGGGGAGCGTGCTGGACCAGCTGGCATTCTGGGCGAACGAAAAGCTGTAGAGCGCACTGGGCACGTCGCATGCGCAGCCTTGTGGAGTTAGGTACAGTCGTTCAGTCGTTTGTGCAACAGTTTGATTACCCTTCATGGAGCAAACAGAAACGCACCTGGATATTTGCTAATGTGCCACGTTCCGCCAAGATCGCTGTGGCGCTCAAAGATGCGGATGTCGGTAATTCCATACCACCGCTTGAGCGTTGCGCCGAGCCCGATTCCTGCGAATCCTGCGCCAATGCAACCAAACTGGCTGTAGGTGCAGTCGACCTTTTCTGGTACCTTTTCTGGTACGCCCATATTGTCGGAGACTGGGCGCGAATTGGTGGGAAGGATTAGAAGGATCGAAGGATGAAGGATGGACGGACGAAAGGACCACTAAGAAGCCTGCAGCGGCGAGACGACTGTGGCAGTTGAGTTCGGCCGGTGCAAACTCTTACAAGCTGCTGTCGAATGCTTCAAATATCACCATCACAACAATAAACAATGTCGAGAAACAGTTGGAGATGGTAGTCCCCTAAATAAAACAGGCGTCAATGAGCAAACACATGAATTTGCGGGGTTCCTGGCACTAAGAACGACAGCCGAGGCCGTCGCGAAAAGGAGATGGTGCAGTGTCGACAAAGTTGTTCCGCGGCGACGACTAAAGAGGGTCTCCACAAGGAGATCTTCCGACAAAATTACTCCGAAAGACTTTGAATACGATGCATCGAATCACAAGGGGACACATAACTGCGCTACGGATGTACCAGAATCAGTACTCCGTGCATCGAAGACAACGTATTGTGCAGTATAAATCTCCAGTTCCTTCCGCAAACTGTCATTATTTACATATCATCTCGTCGCCATGCTCTGCCTCCTCTTCAAATCCTTTTATAATTTATACTGGCTCTCTATTATCTCGCTTGATTACCATCGTGTCACGACGAGTTCTTAACGCTTTCCTATCACGTTTTAGTAAGGTTCCAAACAGACTGCTGCGGTGCTCAACTACGGCTTCCCCTTCTGTCCCTCGCCTTGAATCAGGCCCTGCGACCACGTCTTCATCCGCTCCATGGCTGGACCGGTCTGCTGCTGGCCACCCTCGAGCAAGATAAAGTCATGGCCCTCGTCCTTGGCAACGGCCAGTTCGATCTTCAAGCCGGCATTGCGGCGGCGGACCTTGTCCACCCACATGACCGCCTGGTCGCGCAGCACCTCCTGCTGGCCGGCCGTCACGTAGACGTCGCCGACGACCGAGGCCAGGTTGTCAAAGGCGGACTCGGTTCCGAGCACAAGGTCTTCGTCCTTGGGGAGCGGCTGCGCGCCGTAAAAAACGTGCGTGCTGAGGCCGATGTGGCGCGGACAAATCATGTCGACGCCGTCGTTCTCGACCATGGCGTCCTGCGCAATGTCCGAGGTCAGCCAGGGCGAGACCAGAAAGGCGCCCAGCAGCGGCTGCGCCAGGTGGACGGGCGGGGCGTGCGGCTCGGGGCGCAGCAGGTGGCGCAGGAGATGGGCCGTCAGGTTGCCGCCGGCGGAGTCGCCGCCCACGACGATCTGGTCGGGCCGGACGCCGGATGCGAGGAGGCTCTCGAGCGCGGCGACGGCCTGCTTCAGGACGGTCGGGAACTGCGCCGCCGGGCACAGCGTGTAGTCCAGCACGGCGACGGCCACCTCGTTGGGCGTGCCGACGTGCGGCGCCACAAAGACGCGCCAGCACCATTCCACGTGGCCGGGCATGAGCGGCGCCACGTAGCCGCCGCCGTGGAAGAACAAGACGAACTTGCGCGCCGTCTTCCGGCTGCCCATCCACAGCAGCGACGCGTCGCCCACCGGCAGGGGCTGCGTGTCCGTCTGCAGGCTGGCCACGAGGTCCGTCTGGCCGCGGCGCTGGGCCTTGGACAGCATGGACGTCATAAAGGCGCGGTAGACCTGCCGCGACGTCGGCGACGCATATTGGATGTGGCCGGGCTTGAGATGTAGCAAAGACGCGCCCAGAAATGCACTGGTGAGATACTTTCGCAGCGGCAGGCCGCGGCGGAACACTGTAATGGTTGCCGTCGTCGCATTGAGGACCGTCCTCGGGATCACTGGCATTGCACTCGGATCAATATCGTCAGATCGATATCAGGTCCTACATGCCAGTCAGAAACGGACCGGAAACGACTCACCCAGGAAAAGAACGTATCCCACGAAGCTCAGCTTTTGGGACAAAGGCAGCGTGGGAGGTGCATCATGGCGCGCACATTTGGCCGACGAAGTTTGGCAAGTACAATCAGCCATGGTAGGGTCTGAATGAATGAACGGAAAGAATATGCTGTAGAGAAAGGGTGCAAGACAAAGGAGGTAAGTAAAAGAGATGAACAAAAGGAGACAAGAAAAGGAGGCAGGAGGCAAGAAATAGAGGTAAATAAAAGAGATGAACAAAAGGAGGCCAGAAGGATGCAAGAAGGATGCACGAAGGATGAAGGAGAAGGATGTACGACTGATGCCAAGCACTTACGGTAGACTCGACAAAAAGTGCAACATACTCTGTCGCGCTGCAAAGGAGGGGGAATCAAACTACATCCAAGAATTCTGGGGTATGGGGCAGTTACATGTGAAAGGTTGGCGTTGGTGCTGAAATTGCTCCGGATCGACGTCGCTTGTTGCTAATTCGTCCGGCGTGGAGTAAATAGTGCAACGAACGAAACGTCGTGGAGGTATTCCGTACGTATGTCTAGACTTGCTACGTACAGCTTGTACACGTGTGGTATGTATTGTCGTGCTTGTAGTTGCTTCTATTATATGTGTTGAGTGATTCACGTCGTTGTGGACTGCATATAATTTTCCTTCTTTATTGTTTTTATTTCAGAACAACGATTGCAGGAATTATCACAACAAAATTCACTTGGCCGAAAATGGTTCTTCTCCGTGAAGGATTCACAGCGGACTAGTCGCCGGACTCCTTCGATACTCGTTTTTTGAATCTGCAATGACACTCCCTGTCGGCCCGGGTCCGCACGTCTGCGTGCTTGTCGGCTGTCCTTTCTCTGACCGAGTCCTCAACCGCGGCTTCAACAGTCGGACAAACCCATCCAACTGGCAGTGGTCGTCGGAGATTGCGGTGATTACCGGCGGGTCAGCGGCATCGGCGCCAGCCTGTAGTACATAGGCCCAGCTAACAGCCGCCGTGGTTGTGGCGAACCGTGCGATAGAGCACGCAAAAGCTGGGCGTCGACGTTGTGGGCGGCAGAAAGTCGAAAATCGACGAGTCGGGCAAGTTGGCCAGAGGCCAGCAGGTCACACGCTGTCGGCCAAAACCGTGCCGGCGGACGACAGGAACTGCAGCCAGCGGGGGTGGAAGGGGGCCTCGAACCGCGACAGGATCAGAGCAATGTGGCGGCTGTAGAGCGGGGCCGAGACGGACTGGTGGAAGCTCTCGTAGGACACTGCACAGTTAGTGACGACACGAAGCAGCGACGACGGAGCCATACGAGTAGAACGTACACAGGAGCAGCCGCGGCACGGTCCACGTGGAGGCAAAATGCGACAGCTGCAGGTGCAAGACGGTGGTCTGGTGGTCCAGGTCGCGGCGGAGACGGGGATCCGCCAGGGCCGTCTTGCGGTAGAGGTCGAGGAAGACGAGCGCCGTAAACACCACAAACGACAGCGCCGGGTCGACGGCCAGGCAGAAGGAGCTGTCCCACTGGTGGGCCACGGCGGCAATGTCCTGGCACGCCTCGAGCACGCGCTGCCAGCCGGCGACGGCGCGGTCGTCGTTGTCGTCGTTGTCGTCGTTGTTGTCCTCCCCCTCCTGGCGCAGGCCGGGGTCGGCCATGGCCAGCAGCAGCTGGGCCATCTGCAGGTGCAGGACGGTCGCGAGGCGCGCGTGGTGGGCCGCGCGCGACTCGCTGGACAGCGCGTTGCGCCGCGGGTTGAGCCAGCCCGTGGGCAGCGCGAGCCGGGTCGTGGCCAGGCGCCGCTCGGCTCGGGTGACGAGGGCCGCCCGGTCGCCAAGCGAGTGCAGCAGGGGCAGGCGGAGGACCAGGCCCGCCTGGCGCAGGGCCGACAGCGTCACGTTGTGGACGTTGGCCATGAACGTCGCCGGCGCCCGGACGACGGCACGCACGACGCCGGGCACGTCGTCGAGGTCGGACGGCACGTACAGCACCGGCAGCGTGCCCGCCGCGCCAGCGCCATCGGCATCGGGCGGCGCGGAGGCGGCCCCGGTCGCCGGACTCTGCAGAAGCGACGTGCCCATGGCCGTGTCGTCAATGACATACGGCGTGCCGCACGCCATGTTCGAGTACGTGTCCAGGCGGTAGATGCACCACCACAGCGCGCGCCACTCCTGGATGTCCTCGTCGTCGACGGCGCGCCAGTCGGCATACACGGTGCGGATGTGGTCCAGGCGGTCCAGCCCGATGCGGTAGGCCATGCGCGTCACGCGGCCCACGCGCATCCACGACTGGTGGCCGGGGAACTGGTGGAACTCGTACACGGCCAGGATAAAGGCCCGGCGGAAGTCGTCGAGCGACAGGGCGTCGCCCATCAGATCCTCGTCGAGCATGCTGGAGCTGAGCAGCAGGTCCAGACAGGCGTCCCAGTTCGGCAGGCGGTCGCCCTCGGGGCCGTCTTGTTCGGCGGCATATCCCGTCGTCTTGGCGGCAATGACGACAATGGTGGAAATGAGACTCTCACTGCACCGGCCGTCTTTGAAGCGCTGCAGGAACCGATCCCGCGAATAGATCGGGCTCGCGTCTTTGAGAATGTCGAAATACCGCAGGAGGCTGTTCCCGAAGACGGCCCGTTGGTTAGCTCCCTGTCCCTAGTCGCTCTGTGTGATGGGCAAGACGTACAGGCACTCCACTTGGTGGGGAGCAAGATTCAGCGTGCAGGGACGTTTGCGGACATCGCCTCGGCCGGCGGGAGTCAGCTGGGGCAGGGTGAGTGGAACGACCATCGGTTGAGTCGTGGGGGTGGGTCTTTCTCCATGATCGTTCTCTTCACGCTGTCCCAGGGGCGTGGATGCAGAGAGGCTTGCGGCCGCTGTGGTGGTGGCCGTGGCAGTTTCGATCGTACCTGGCGGCGTTGGCGTCGATGGCATCAGCGGGGCCGCTGGGGCTGCTGGGGCTGCAGCGCTGGCCGCGTTCGACCGGCGAGACTTTCGCAGTGGGCTGGGTGCATGGTGCGAGCCGAGTGGCGGGCCCGGTTTGCGCCTGAGAGAGCTGTAGCGGCACGTCTCGCCGAATTCCAGGCACCGCGAGCACGATGGCCGTTCACGGTTGCCTGCTCGCCATGTGTGAGCGGCGGACACCGGGACGTCGAGGACTACAACAGGGACTTACACTTGATTTTCTTGCTGCCATGCAATGTTGGTTGTGTTGGTTTTCGTCTTCAAACATGTAGATGGCGATACAAGGGGGGGGGGGGTTGCGCCGCTATTACAACCTACCGAATGCACCTGTCACACACTCTCGGCGGCAACGACGCCGCGGTGGACTCGACAGGCTTGTCGGCCATGGTATGCAGCGGCAGCTGCAGCATGGACGGCTGCGTTGAAGTCTGGTGGGTCGACCTTGCCGGAAGGATTTTTCGATCGGTGTGAGAAGAAAATACCACAAAAAAAGGGCTCGGCGCAATTGCAGGAATCCGGGGGAATCACACCCTTCATATACCTATTCTGTTCGAAGATCCGCAGGATCCGGAGGATTTACCCCGCCTAAAGAACGCGCCAAGTGGAGGCCCAATTTGCCTTCATTCCTCATATAAATCCACGGCCGACGGATGCTGCCGAGATCCATCGCGCCGGAATTAATCCGACCGTTCGTCCATGACGGTTACATTCGCTCCTTCATCGGTTTCCTTCCGACTACGTCGTACAGCCTTATATACAGTCTTATAAACTGAATTGTTTCTCACACTCGCATAAACGTGTCACATATCGCCATATCAAACGAGCAGACCCAAACGTTCGTGTCAGCCTTCCTTGCGACTGTCAGCCGGCCGGGGTCAACATGAGCGATAAAAAGGACGGCCTTTCTCAGATGCAAACGATCTGATCAGAGCGATAAGGGAAACGCTGCTGTGATGATGCTAATGCTGGACGGCTTCCTCCGTATGCACCGCCTCCAGCGTATCTTGCATTCTTGCAGGCGCTCAAGTCTTACGACATGGCACCAGAGCTACGGGAGGAAATGCACGCAGACTGATTCCTCGGCTGAGTCGAAACAGTAGTCAACCGTGACACCAGCTGCCGTGGATTGTCTCATATGGAATAAATACCAACATGAATTTGCAAATTAAGCCCTCCCTCATTGCGTACATTCGTCACTCTTGCCTCTTTCCACCAATGCAGATCCTTACTACGTAGAGTCGTATGCGTTTTGTCGACCCTGTCCGATGTGCGACACCACTCCTCGTCTCGCCACGCCGTTCTACCCTTCCAGCGGCTTGGCGGCCTCGACCTTGCCGGGCTGAAGCGGCTCAAAGTCCTCGCTGTACGTGATAAAGGCGTCGTCGTTGAGATGGCGGTGGCGCCACCAAAAGATGATTGTCTGCACAAAGAGCGCGATGCCGGGCGCGGCCCAGGCCCAGATGAGGGTGGGGTCGTTGATGGCGGGGATGAGGATCTCGCCGAGGGCGCTGCTCAGGGCCGTCATGAACAAGAAGAGGGCGACGACGGTGGACCGCATGTTGGGCGGGGCGCGGGCGTAGGCCAGTTCGTAGGCCGTGACGTTGATGAAGATCTCGGACATGGCGCCGAGGGCCACATTGGGGACCTGCCACCAGATGGAGACGGGCGACACGTCGTCGCAGGTGCTGGCATGGTAGCCGCTAGAGTGGTGATTAGTAGGGGAAATCAGGAGTACAAAGGTAGATGGCAAGATAACAAGGGCAGATGACAAGGCGGACTGTTAGGAGGACTCACCAAGGGCTGGTCGCGTAGACGCGGTATTGGACGATGGCACCGATGAGCGACGACAAGGTGGCCAGGGAGAAGCCAATGGTCATGCGCGTGATGCGGCCGACCTTGATCTTGCGGCGCTCCAGGAACGGGTTGACGACCTGCGCCATGAACGGCGAGAAGACGATGATGACGAGCGGGTTGAAGTGGCCGAGCAGGTCGTTGGGCGCGCCGTTGGACGTCATGGCGGCGCCCTGGTTGCTCTGCACGTTGCCGACGCCGCCGTCGTTGAGGTTCCAGACGGGGATGTACAAGAAGATCTGGATGGCGCCCCACGTGCGGCGCGCGTCGTCGACGTCCTTGTCCGAGTAGGAGACGCGGACGCCGCGCTCGGCCAGCAGCGCCGACGGCGTGACGCGCGACCAGAACGCCTGGGCGAACACGTTGCCCCGGCTGGCCCTGAGCGCCGCCAGCGTGATCTTGAGGAAGCGCGTCAGGTCGGAGCCCTGCGGCGGCGTGCGGATGGTGCGCTTGTACATGACGGCGAGCAGCACGGGCAGCAAGAAGTAGACGATGCCGGGCACCAGAAAGGCCAGCCAGAAGCTGCGGTACTTTTCAATGTACACGACGGCGATGGAGAAGAAGGCGCCGACGTTGATAAAGGCGTAGAAGATGAGCATGATGTGGTTGACCGTCGTCTCCGGGTCCACGAGCACCTTCTCGCCCGTCTTCAGCACCCGCGTGTACGGCCGCTGGTGCTTGTACTGGTCGATGACCGTCGGCGCCACGTTGGGCTTGAACAGCCCGGCGCCGATGGCGAGCAGGAAGAAGCTGACCAGAAACGGCGCCGCGCCCTTGCCGGCCTGGAGCAGGGCCGGCGCCGCGCCGCCCACCATGATGACGTGGGAGAGGGCGCCGATGAGGACGCCCCAGACGATGGCCTGGTAGCGGCCCGTCTTGACGTCGGCCAGCCACGCGCCGAAGATGGGGATGACATAGGCCAGGAACGTGAACAGGAGGCCCAGGGCCGAGGCGGTCTGCAGGCCCAGGTTGAGGGCGCCGGCATGCGAGTTGGGCTTCGCCGGGTTGATGGCGCCCGTGCCCGGTCCGCCGGCCGGCAGCGGGAACTGCATGAAGTTGTTGAAGGCGGCCTTGACGCCGTAGTAGGACGCGCGCTCGGCCATCTCGACGAGGCAGAGCAGCCAGGCCGTCAGCGGGATGGAGTCGGAGATCTTGCGCAGCGTGTGCTGCTCTTCCTCCGTGGGCAGCGGATAGGCGTCGACATCGACGACGGGGCCGCTCTGTTCGGACGGGATGGGCAGCGAGCCGTCCAGGCCATCACCGCCCGTCTTCTCGGCATCGGCCCCCGTGTCGGGCTCGACAACTTGGTGCACGTCATGTGCCACTGTTTTCTCTGCTGCAAGTGCAAGCGTCGATCATGGTCAGAACGTCGCAAAAATATGTACAAAATATGTCCAAAATATGTATAAAAAAATAAATCAAAGAAAGTCTTACCCATTGCTATCGCTCTGTTGCCCTCTGTGACTAGATATGCGCAGCGCTTGACAAATAATGCCGTAGGTGTGTTGAAGCGCACGGGAGAACCAGAAAGACGGGATGGACAACATCCTTTAATCTACGACTTACAGACATGTAGACATGTAAACATTGGACATTGGGCATGCCGTCGACATTTGGGGCTTGTCCAAACAGGAAGGTGAAGGGGCAGCCCAGCATGAGGCTGAAGCACGAACCGCACAAGCAAGCACGAGCTTATCAGAGCGTGTGGCGCCATCCCACAACGGCGCACTGCAGACCTCCGGATTTGGGGATCGAGACAACCTGACGACACGGCAAGGGCAACACATGGAGTCAATTCAATAAAGCAACATTGGAACGCATTGCTTGCCATTGGGGGTCAACAGTGCAGCCATTGGAAATGGAAATACAAAAGTTGGGGGTTGCGATGCTTTGTAATTCGGCCTTGACGTGATTGGCGGCTGATATGATATGATGGCCGAAATGTACAAAGGCATGGTCCGAATAACATCTAGATGTGACCCTTGGCCATTCCCCCCAAACCTAATTAGCGGAAGTGCCCGCGGACCATGTCCTCGTTTGCGTGCTTGGACGCTGACAATTCGCTCGGCCACACCGGCCGGCAAGACTGTGGGGACTTGGGGACTGTGGGATCGGAGACCCTGTTGTGTCGTCTATGTTACTGTGGCACGAATGTACTTTTGTACTGTGGTATTGTCTATTCTCGCAGGCGATGCACCGCCTCCTCGGCGCTGCCAAGCGCTTCGTGCCAGCACCTGTCCACCACGTCGCCCACCGCGGCAGGCAAGCTCGCGAGCGGGGGAAAGTCGCCGGCCTCGTAGCGGCGTCGCACCTCGTGGTCCTCCAGCCCCTGGAACGGCCGCTGCCACGCCATGATCTCGTACAGACAGGACCCCAGCGCAAAGAGCTCGCGCTTCAGTCGTGGCAGATCGTCTGCCTCCCGTCCCCGGCACGGCAGCGCGTACTGCTCCTCTTCGGCGGCGGTGGCCGGGAACTGGTGCGTCGCCGCCTCGATGATAGCGCCGCCAAAGTCGCCCAGCTTCACGCGGTGCCCGGCAAAGAGCATGAGGTTGCGGCAGCTCAGGTCCGAGTGCCACACGCCCTTGCGGTGGATGTGCGCCACGGCGGCAGCGGTGTCGCGACACATTTGGAGGCGCGTGGCCGCCGGCAGCGGGTCGTCGAGTGTCTTTTGGATGAGAGTGCGCACGGTGCCAAGCGGCGCCAGTTCGAGGCGCAGCGCGTGCACGGCTGGATCGCGGTGGATCTCGTCGAGGCCGTGGCAGACGAGAATGTTGTCGTGGCGGCCGAGGTGCGCATACACTGCAGCTTCGCGCGCAAGATCATCTTCGCAGGGTTCGGGGTAGTAGGATCGTCGTCTGCCGTTGACCCAAATCTCGTAGCTCTTGTGGACCGTCGCGTCGTCCACCAGAGACACAAAACACGAGCCCCCCATCCCGACAATGGCCCCAAAGCCGGGGTCCATCTGAGGAAACATGAGAGCAACCATTGTGTCGTGTTTTATGCTACTGCAGGGGCTACGGGCTGGCGATGTTGTGCCGACTTAGGTTGTTGAGATTGTTTCCCATTGTTTGAACAGGGCGACATGTGTACACCAGTTAGGTCGCTGGCACTGGCTGTCATTGGCTGTCGAACAGGAGGATGATGCGCTGAAGTCGGGAAGGATTCGCTGGAGTCGGCAAGGATTCACGCGCTTCGGCGTCAATCAACGACCAGCAGACGACAATACGACATTGTAGCAAGTACGCGCAAAGTGGCTTCCAAAATAAATCCATAACCAAAGACCGTAGAAGAAAACGCAAAAACAAAAACAATATTGGTATAGTACATGTAAAGTCGAGTCGAGATGATGGACTGTGTGTCCGTCTTACAGTGGCCCACAACTCCAATAAAGTGCTGACGTCTGACACCCAGCTGACATCTGCTGAAGCGGCGTCAGCATTTTGAATGTCCCATGTGTTCTGCCCCCGCAGCACGCTCTACGCTATCTTACGTATGCTCGCATGTTGCTGCGTTGCCGCATCGTCCACCGCCACCCGTTCAGTCAAACTCGCGGCTCTCGCCAATCTCGCACACGTCAAACACGCCCGTCTCCGGCAGCCCGCGCCGCCGCAGCGCCTCCTTGAGCTTGGCGGGCGGCTCCAGCACGGGCTCGACGGTCAGCGCCCACGTGCCCCAGTGGATGCCCATGGCGCGGCGGCAGCGCGTGTCCTTGAAGATGTCGACGGCGTCGACGGGGTCGGCGTGCATGCCGGAAAACAGCGTGCGCGGCTTGTACGCGCCAATGGGCAGCAGGCCGACGTCAAAGGGCCCGCGCAGGGCGCCAATGTGCGCAAAGTCGGGGCAGCCGGGCCGCTGGGCGCGGACGGCGTCGTCGGCCGCGTGGACGGCCGCGCGGTCGGCCGGGTCCGGGACGCTGGCCTCAATGTCCTCCTGGTCCTGGTCGACGGCGCGGTAGCCCGTGTCGCCGCCAAAGTACACGGAGCGGCCGCCCGCGGACACGGCCCAGCTGCACCACAGGGTGTGGTCGCGGTCAAAGGGCGAGCGCGCCGACGTGTGCTGGCTGGGCAGGCAGGAGAAGAGGGCTTTGAGGGGAGGGACGTTGGGGTTGGTGGTGGGGGGCGATGCGGACGACGACGTCGACGTCGCCGTCTTGGCTGCGCCACCACCACCACCACCACCCAACGGCCCCAGCGTCACAGTGGCCTCGGCGTCCTGCCACCAGTCGAGCTCCGTCACCTCCTGGATGCCCGCGCTCCGGAACCAGTCGGCCAGGCCCAGGCCGACGAAAAAGTGCGCCCGCGGATGGTGCTGCCGGATGGTCTGCACCGACGGCCCGGACAGGTGGTCGTAGTGGCTGTGGCTGATGACGACGGCGTCGACGGCCGGCAGGTCCGCCAGCACGCACGGCGCGGGCGTGAACCGCCTGGGGCCCAGGAACGACATGGGCGAGCAGCGGTCCTCGAAGACGGGGTCGAACAGCACGCGCAGCCCCGTCGGGAACTCGATGTAGTAGCACGCGTGGCCCAGCCACGTGGCGCGCAGCGGGTGTTTCTTGGTCGGGTCGTTGTCGGGGTAGCGCGTCGGCAGGAACGTCGGCTTGCGCACGGTGACGGTGGGCGGCGTCGTGTCGGGCGTCTCGAGCTTGCCGGCAAACCGGTAGCGCACAAACGTGCCGATGATCTTGACAAAGCCCAGGGGCCCCAGCGAGCCGGCCGGGCCGAGGCCGTCGACAAAGGAGGCGTGTGGGTTGCGGAATTTTTGGATGGAGCCGTCGGCGTTGAGCACGTGGTGCGGCTTGCTCTGGGCCGTCTCCGGCGCCGGGCCCAGGCCCTCGCCTGCGACAACGGTGACGCTAGTGGGCTGCTCCATGGCTGATGCGGCGACCGTCGTGGTGGAGGTCGTCGACATGTTGGAAGAGCACGTTTTGGAGGGGGTTGGGTCGAGAGACTCTGTCGAGAAAGGACGGCTGCAGAGACACAAAGACAGAAGAAACAGTCGAATGCGCCGCGCTGTTGTCCGTTGGCGGGCCCGGAGTTAGCGGTGGACGAGACGAGCGGTGGACGAGACGAGCTCGGTGGTGATGTTATGTTGACGCGTTATGTTGGCTTTGCACGACGTTGACGTTTTTCGGCAGAGGAGGCGTTAAAAGGAAAAGAAATCAGGCTTGGGAAAGACACGACGACGGGAACTGATGACGGTGCCAGAGCGCGCATTTACGTCGCTGGCGCCAGCATGCGGCAGCAACAATGATGCCCGCGGAGAGACATATCGTTCCTTTTGGCTGGCGATCACACTAGGCTCGGTGCATTGCGTACATTAGGCGGGTTTGGAGGATCGAAGGCTCTATGCAGCAGGATTTGGGTGATCCTTTAGGACTACAGTGTGCTGGGAGGAGGGCCATTGGCGCATGTTTTGTACCGCGGGCTCGGAGACGTCAAGAGTCCGGGGCGACGGATAGGGCTTGGGCGTCACCATTCCGCGGAAGAGAGTTACGTCTGACTCCATACACAATGAACACCAATTTACGACAAGCCTCGAGTTGCAGTCTCAAGCCATTTTCCCCGTCGTACGAATGTACACTCTCTTGGCTTTGACGTTGTTTCATCAGGTCCCCCAGCGACTTTTCAGTGTCTGTTGGCGTGTTGTCCCTTTCTTTTGCCTTTTGCTTGTTCCGTTGCTGGTTCTTTGGTGCCATCTCCAAATGAAAAGCACTGAAACCTGCACAGAACTCTGGTAGCCAGTCAGTAACTGCAATTACGCCATGCCAGATCCGGCTGCAAAGACACTGGCGTCTTTGCCCCGACGGCAGGAAATGCCCGTCGGCAACTACAAACATTCCGAACTCTGCGAGTGTCGACAACAGGCACCAGTCGACACGACAGTCCTTGAAATGCACAATGTGCGTACGAAATTCTTACCGACTCGTCATTGCACAAGTAAGCCTGTGACATTGCACAAGTAAAGTCTGAAACTTTTGCTTCTGCCACATGTTGCGTCGTGTATCTCATTTTATCAACTTTGTTAGGACAAAGCCTACACCACGTGCCGTGGTCAGTGCAGTCACTGCAGTCACTCTCCCATGCGACTACACGCCTGACTCCTGTTGCATGCGACCGTGCGCGATGTTGGGCTGTCCAACGTCTCGTTTGTCATTATTGCCACGATTTAGGGACAAACGAAGAAAGCAAAATTGCCTTCAGGAGCGAGCGAAACACCACTAAAAACGGCACAAAACGGCCCCGTACATAGTCCATTCACATACACAACGAGGACCAACGTTTTTTAACAATGAGATCGAACGCCCGGTTAGCTCAATCGGTAGAGCGTGAGACTCTTAATCTCAAGGTTGCGGGTTCGACCCCCGCATCGGGCTCAAATCCTGATGCGCTTCTCTACAGAAGCACCATTCGAATTCTCAATTTTTTTGTCATTTTCTTTTCCTCGTGGGTGTGGATGTCTCTCGAGGACTGTGACATCACTATTTTATTTCGTACTTTGCATTCTTTGGATATCACTTTGCATTCTCAGCAGTATCTTGGTTTGTCATTATTTTTGTTTTGCTTAAAACGTTATTTATTTAAAATTACAAGTGTTTTTTTTTTATGAGAAAAGTCTGTCGATAACCAAAGTAAAAAAATACAAAATAAAAATAAAATAAAAATAAAAATAAACATAAAATCAGATCATCTTGGACGATAGATTGCATTGGAAACTCATAATGCCAACAACCACAGCCAAAAAACACCACTGGAAACTGGAAACCATTTGTAGCGTAGCTTAAAGGTCTAAAAATGCGTCACGTGTACATTTTTATTTTAGACAAAACACATCTTGACTTCCCATTTGCGCATTGCATCACACCCTCATGAATTTGCTAGTTACATTGAAACTACGTCGTCCTGTTGGTCCAAACGCACAGTACAGCACTTTCATTACACGGTGTAGTGCATATATCTAGCAGCATTTGCACCGTGCGTAGAACACAGCTCTGCTGCTCGGATCCCAGGGATGTCGAGGCTCTTTGTTTCGGTGACATAATGTTCTGTGATACAGACAGCCTGCGCGTGGTTGTCGTGACATGCCTAACTTTCCATGGAGAGCCGGTGATGACGACAGTGGCGACGATTAACGTAAACGGAAGGGTGCAGTGTGGTGGAGGGTGATGTGGTGGGAGAGATAAAAACAGCCGTATTGCCTGGCCCGGATGTGATTCTCGCCCCTCTTCCCTGACTCTGCTAAATACCATTCAAAACCACGAGAATTGAAACAATCATCCAAAGAGCATCTACAAAAAGAACCCAACACAACATGAGTGGACTGACGGACGAAGCTGTGCTTGAGGGCCACGACCTCATCGACGGCGCCGAACACGAGGCACTGGTAGGTCCCCATATGGACAGAGCGCATTGCATCAAGTAGCCGACAGACTGACACAAGCCAGGCCGATCCCAAGGACTTTAAGAAAGTCCACTCCGTCGGCGAGACGGGCGGTTCCATTCTGCCGGACGTCAACAGCGCGGCCTCGAGGTCTGCCAAACCGACGGAGGCTCGGAAAGGCACCGAGCCGCTCGGATCGAAGCTGAATGAGTTCAAGGACAAGGTTGCCAAAGACTAAATTAGGTTGCGGGGGATAGGAGAAGGATGGCATCAAGGGCACAAGGCAGAATGTCAATATATCCATGATATGTCAATGCAACATACATTCGAGGCCTCGTAACAGCAAAACGCTAAGGGGAGCAGAGTGACACAACGCACGAGATTTTATTGGAGCGTACACTGAAAACCTAAAAAATACAAAAATAGACTGGAAGTCGTCGTGCCTGGAAGACCACCGACTCGATCCAGCCTGCTGTCGTCAAGAGACAGAAGAAATATGTGCACACAAATAGAGAAAGGGAAGACAAAGAGTCGTTTTGGACGAAAACCATCCGAGGCAAACAAAGGCAAACAAAGGTACGCCCAGGTAAGCCCAGGCGAGGGGTTGAGAACCGTCGAGATTGGGATAAAATTGCTCAGCCAGCGGCTTACTGCTCGCCCTGGGGAGCACCCTGAGGAGGCTGGGGACGGTCGCCGGCCTTGCCCTTGGCACCCTTGCCCTTACCGCCCTTGCCACCCTTGCCGCCCTTGTGGCCCTTGTGAGCCTTGTGGCCCTTGTGGTCGGCCGCATCGGCATTGCTGCCCTGCTCAGGCTCGGCACGCTTAGCCGGGGCACCGGGAGCACCGGCGATAGGAGCGCCAGCACCGGGAGCTCCTGGAGCGCCAGGAGCACCACCACCAGGAGCACCTGCACCGGGGGCACCTGCACCGGGGGCACCTGCACCCGGAGCACCTGCACCGGGGGCACCCTCGCCCTTGCCCTTGTGGCCGCCCTTACCCTTGTGGCCGCCCTTGTGGCCGCCCTTGCCCTTCTTGTCGCCGTCTGCAGGGGCACCGGGAGCGCCGGGAGCACCCGTGGTAGGGCTACCGGCCTCTTGGCGCTTGCTGGGAGCCTTGGGCGCCTCAGGGGCGTGGGGAGCACCTGGAGCACCGCCCTCACCCTTTCCCTTGCCGCCCTTGCCCTTCGCACCGTGGCCCTTGCCACCCTTGTGGTGCCTGCCGCCCTTGGCCTTCTTCGCATCGGCCGCCGGGCCGGCGCTGTTGTCGGCGCTGTCGCTGTTGTCGCTGTTGTCGCTGTCGTCGTCGCCCTCGGCCTCCTGGCGCTTGGTCGGGGTCGTGGCGCCGGCAGGGTGGAGCGGACCGCCAGGGTTGATTGGGGCACCAGGCGCACCCGCGCCCGGGCCGCCGACACCCTTGCCCTTGCCGCCCTTTCCCTTGTGACCGCCCTTGCCCTTACCACCCTTGCCCTTGGCACCGCCCTTGCCCTTGAGGACAGGCGCATCGCTGCTGTCGTCGTCGTCGTCATCGTCGTCACCGCTGCCCGGGGCCTGGCGGGGTACGTGACCGCCGTCGTGCGGCTGCGGCTGCGGCTGCGGCGCATGAGTCTGGGGGGGCTGCGGGGCCGGCGGGTGGACCTGACCGACACCGTTGTGGCCGACACCGTCGTGGCCGGGGCCGCCATGCTCCTTGTCATCTTCGCCGTGGTCATGGGCGTGGTCGTGGCCATGGTCGCCACCAGGGATGCCACCGGGGACGCCGCCAGGGTGGCCGCCCGGGTGTCCGCCGTTGTTGGCGCCCGCAGGAGGGCCGTGCGGCGCAATGGCCGTCGTCGGGTCCTGGGCCGGGGCAGCCAGAACGGACTGGACAGCCGTGGCGGCAAGGAGGGTGACAAGGAGGTTTCTCATTTTGGTTTGGGGGGGGGGGGGGTGGGACAAGAGAGAGTGAGAGACAAGGAAATACAACTGATGGACAGAGCGGATCGACTGATACTTGATGCAAAAGAGCTGGATGATGTTTCGACAGAGCGCTGCTGAAGAAGGAGAGAGCAAGGAAAACAAAGCAATGACGGCAAGTGTCGTATTTATATGCAAGAGAAGAGCTAATTGAGACTTATTTTGATATACAACGCACATCTGTAATGACGACAGACAATGGCAGGCAAGCCATGGGGCGAAATGACGCGACGTTCGTATCACCCGGGAAAACCACACCGCAGAGAGGGACACACTGTCGACATCGTGAATGGCAAACAATTCACTCACATTGACGACAACACAAATGGAATAACTCATCACCTGGTCCGGGCACTGCATCTACGCAACCTCAATATCCAGGCCGGCTGCTCCAGATTCATCAAAAACGCCATGCTCACTCAGCCAAGGACAGAGGTCAAGGGTCAAGGGCAAGTTTTGTCGTCATGTCCACCCGGCAATACCTGTCGATCATTGTCTACTATGAGTTTATATCCCATCCCGCGTTTCTCCGCTTTTGGGGTTTCGACGGGGCCGTCTTTTCATTTGTTTTTCATCGTCCTGGTCGGGGTTTACAGTCTATTTAGACAGCGTTCTCCTCTTTTGTGACGCCACGTCTCGGCCACAATCCCTCCATGGAATCCACTTTGGGCAGCATCTCCACCTCACCGAGCGGAGACAAGAGACAAGATGCCATATGCGACAAGGTACAGGGTAGGCCCACCGAGCGGAGATACTGAACGCGTGGCAATGCATTTCTGTTGTTATGCTGTTGGGTGTGGGACAGGATTGCTCCATTCCCGTGGGACACACCAGCATGGTCTATTTTTAACAGGAATGGTTTGTTGTTGATTGACCTCGTCGAGTTTATTTAAATGAATAGGGCATCTGTCCGGCCGTAGCACACCAATGGAGTGGCCTTTCTTGCATGGATCAACATCGTCGTCGACATCACGCAATCAACATCGAACTTGCGGAAACAGGAAATAGGTCCCTTACAGGCTGTTCCGAGGGGCAAGAGGACGACAATGACGGCCATGGCAGCCACGACAACGCCGTTGCAAATGACAGACAATGTGCTCTGCGAGCGGAATGGCGAGATTTTGCTGGTTCATTTGTTGTTGAATTCACCGGTGGTAAATAAATTTGTTCGGTGTTAACGGTCCGTCGAAACCTGCAATTTAGGTGTTTAATTATATTGCCGTCTTGTTATGCCGTATGACGGCGTCGTATTTGGTCATCTTTGGGACGCCTTGGCCAGAATTTCTGCGGGCTAATCCGTCTTGACAGCCAGGATACACTGTTGGCCTAGACTATTCTGAGAGTCTCTCTGGTAACAAGAGCCAGTTCTTGCAAGTCAGCCTCTTGGAAGCGGTCTTAATTTAGTCGGCTTCCCGTGCGCGCCTCGTCAAAGTCTGCAAAGTGGAATGAATAGGCTAAGTCGGCTCGTGTTTTGAAGAGATGGGCATTCTATGCGTAGCACACTTATGCTGCTGCATATAACTTATATGGGGCATAAAGGCGGTAAATCTAGACCTTTCTGCTCAATTGCATTTTATATTCGGCCGTTCTCCACAGAAGACCCAATAAACAGCCGCAAGCACCCAGCAACCAGAGACTATGAGCGTAAAGCCCGGTTGCGGAAGCACTGTGACAGAATTGTTTATTAAACATGCTTTACGCAGTCACGAGAAGTAGAGAAATGTTGATGCGAGGTGTGCAAGTACGTGGACCATTTGACCTGTGATCTAAACATAGAAGATGGATTGTTCCACCAATCTGCTCTGAGCCGTTACTGTGTTGTGTCTCGTCCATCATGGCCCGCCAGGCGATGGCATTTACGAAATCCGTGACGCGTACAGGGTAAGACGCGTACAAAATCACACCACCATATCTTATATGCCAACCTGTCGTAGAATTTCGTACACAGGACACTTTACAGAGTCGAGTTATGTGTTGCGTTCGGACCACAATATGGCCCATGTGAACCGCACCGACCTCGAGTCGAACATACCGGACGGTGATGTTGCCATGCCAAATAATCCGACGCAACGTTCCTCGAACGCCTCTTTTTTGGTAGCACCAGATTATAATCACCGGATTTGAAAGCTGGATAATTCTTTTCATGTTGCATTCAACTTTGCTCAGCTACTTTGATTGCAAACGTTGCATATGATTGTCACGGTAGTGTCTATTTCTCGTATGCCGAAAATGGCAGGCTTTGTCCACCATTAAATATACAATATGACTACGAAACGATACCAGATTTGTTTTTCTTATAATTTTATCACTGTACTGAAACTGTATTCGTATCATCCTCTACCTCCCTCCTGTGGTCTATCCACTTAATCGAAGACGCTGCCTCTTGCAGCGAGATGCGCTTGTCTGGTTCATGCCGCATGAGGCCCTGCATCGGCCACAACAGACACTTGAGCGCCTCCACGTCGTACTCTGAATATTCATCCCTTTGATATTCATTGTCGTCTTCGCCAACGTCTGGATCTGCATTGAGAATGTGAGTGAGGATCACCTGTCGACGCGGCTCGAAAGTATCCTGTATGAGTTCTTGGGGCATGTTGGCTGCTGTGGGAATGATTTGTTAGTATGATTAAAAAAGGGAAAAGAAGGGGGAAAAAAGGAAAACAGAAAAAGAAAAGAGAAAAGAGAAAAAAGGTACCGTCTTCGTCTGCATATTTATAACCAACCAACATCTCTTCCCATTTCGCATGCCACGGCGCTGGCAGCGGACCCAACTTGGCAACCTGTCGTCGAATAAAGAAATGGTTCGGGTCGCCGATGCAGGAGAACGGCGACGTCTGGTAGAACAATGAGTAGATCTGGATGGATTAACCTCAGTAAAAGAAAAGAAAAAAAATCTTTCTTTTCTTCCTTTTTCCCCTTTCTTGTTTACAGACGTACCACGCAGCCTGCTCGCCACAAGTCGTGCTTGAAGGTAAATGAATGCCCGAAAAACGTCTCGGGGGGCCGCAGGTTGTTCGGCTGGCCGAGAACTGTGACTGTTTTGCCCGCAGCAAACGACCAGCCCCAGTCGATGAGCCGGATGTCCTCGGCTGTGTCAACGTACCAGCCATCCCAGGCCGTGCAAGCAACCAGCTGTTCAGGGAGACCCGCTGGTCGTGCGGCGTTGTTGTCGTCATCATACGCAGCGGTTGGCGGCTCTCCGCCGACCATCTCAAACAGGTCATTGTCGTCTGCCTGTGCATTTTTCCACGTAAACGAAATGTTTCGAGGAGAGACGTCTATCGAGGTGGGGGGGAATTATCAGCAGTCAGGTACGGATAGAGAGAAAAGAGAGTAAAAGAAAGGAAGAAGGACACACATACCCCCATGAGCAATGCCGGCGTGATGCGTAAAGTTGAGCCCCTGTAGAAGCTGCCGCGATACCCGAAGGACCACATCCGGAGGTAACGTATTTTCATCCGGCCGGTACTCGTCGAGAATATCCGCCAGTGTTGGCCCGAGCACCTCTGTAACAATACAGGTATGCACGCCATTAGGCCCCATATGTTGAAAAGTGTCGAAAACCCGAACGAAAGAGCGTGCCTGCGTCTGTGTCTGTGTCCTCTCGATGCTGCAGTAGTACTTCTCGAGCGTCTCAAGGGCGCCAATCTCAGAGTCCTGGTCGGTGCCGTTCGCAGAAGCCCGCGCGGACTTAATCTTAAGGGCGACCCATGCCCCTGGCTCATGTGCATCCCAGGCGAGCCAGACCGTGGACTGGCCGCCATAGCCCAGCTTGTGCCGGATAGTATACCGCCCGTCCTTGAGAGTATCGCCCAAGGAGACAGGGTGAAACCCTCCTGGGGCATATCTTTCGAGCGGCTCATGGGGCATAACGTCCACAAACTTGGGGTAGAGTCCCCAGTTGATCCGCAACGGGCCGGACGACGGCCCGCCGATCGGTGCTGATGGTGGTTGATGCGTGGCCGGCGGGGTTGATGGCGGTGCGCCGTGCAAATTGGGAGACATGACGTTTTGGAAGTGTCTGTGTCGTTGTCAGATTCAGTAAGAAGTCGCGGCGTTGATAAAATGTGAGACGTTGAAAGAGGCGTCTAAAACGGGCGCTAATTTTACTATTTTTACAACGCTGCAGGGGCGAGTGGGGGTGGCTGGTCCCTTGGCAAAAAGCCTCAAACCAAAACGACTCGGGGCGCTCATCGTCCCCATGATCACTACTAAAATCAACCTCGTACAGTATTTCCCTAGCCTTTTCTTGGGCCAGAGAAGGTCAAACGTTCTACGGATTTATTCATATGGCGCCTTCGCGTACTGGAGGCTTGTTGGAATTTTCTCTTAAATGGCCTCGGTGCCGGACAGTAATTCACCTAGACGATGTTATTAGTTTTACTTCAGAGAATAGGCTTCCTAAACGGTCGACAATCGACTTTAACGCGGGCATCGTGCTGCTCAAAAGGCACCAGGAACAGTCAGAGCATTAGGGCTGAGGTGCTATGTTGAAGGACGGTATATACGTGTATAAATGAGAACGAATTCTATTCTACTCCGTAAGGAAAACGATATATATTATATTATACGTTTGGAAAGAACTCTGCACGCAAAAGATAAAAAACGATAGTATACCTGTTGAAAGAATTCTACACGCAAAAGAAGAAAAAACCCATCAGTATTACAACAGGAGAGCCAGCGCAAAGGAAATGGTGGCCACCAGAGCAATGCTGTTCTTAGTAGTGCACAACAAAGAAGAGGCTGACGAGGTCGGCGAGCTCGAGGGAGGGGCAGTCGATGTGGAGGTCGGCGAACCTGTGGCAGCAGCCGACGAGGCAAAGCCGGCCGACGCCGCGTAGGTCGGCGTTGCGAACGGCCCGAGCGTGCCGTTGGCCTGGGCGGACTGGCTGGGGGCGGGCGTGGCAGACGGGATGGGCGCGCCTGAGCTCGCAAAGGGAACAACGTTGGCAGCCGTCGCGTTGGCCTTGGCCGGCGCGATGGCGATTTGGTTGTTGACGAGGTCGTAGACGACGTAGGCCGAGCGCAAGAAGGTGTCGCCGAGGATGGTGAACAGGTCGGTCGAGTTGGTAATGCCGAAGCGGCAGACGGCCTGGCCGCGGAACGGCCCGCTCGTAAACGTCGCGTTGCTGTAGACGTCCTGAACCAGCTCCGTCATGCTGACGTTGACGACGGGCCCGCCCGGCCCGCCGAACGTGAACGAGAACACGCCGCCGCTCTGGGCGCGGCTGCAGGGGAGAATGGCGTCGCCGAGTTGGGTATTGTAGGAGGCGCCGGCTTCGGCCCAGAACTGTTCCGCAAGGTCCTGCGGCACTTTGGTGAGGGTGGTGCCCGAGTCCAGGAGCGCATAGCCGGTGTAGTTGCCGGCGGACGTCAGGGCGTCGCGGCCGCTCACGCTGATGGCCTCCACGGACGTCAGCGCCACGAAGTACTGCAGATACTTTTGCGGGCCTGGATCCTTCAGCACGTCCAGCCGGATGAGGTCGCCCTCGTATTTCTCCGTGTCGATGCCGCCGAAAAGAATGTTGCCCGTGCTCGCCTCTATCGCAGGGACCGCGTGGTTAGCACAGTTCAACGTACCCCACTGAATTCGTCTCGAGCAAACACATATACATACCCAGATCATTCAGCCACAAGCTGAACGCATTCGTATTGGTCAAGTTTTGCCGGACAAGAGACTCGCCCAGGCTCGGGTACGCGTCAGACGGGTCATTGGAGGCGATGGCCTCCAAGCCAGGGTAGCCAACGCCCACGAGGCCGAACGTAAGACCCTCGGTGTCTTTGCCGAGGCCCATGGTGAAGCCTTTCACCGTAGCCCCTGCGATGACGAGCGTGTCCGTGAAGTAGTCGCCGGTGGCATGGTCTCCGTCGCCGTACGTGATGTTGAAGCCGTTCTTGCGGTAAACGGAATAGGACGACGACGCATCGGCATCGACTGCGAAAACTCGTCAGCAGAAGCGCTCAAAAAAAAAAAAAAAAAAAAGGCATTCCCGAAAACCAGGAAATCGATCCCATGAACACATCATGATTCTTACAAGAGCCTACGCTGCAGTCGTGACTCTTGGCGCAAACGGAAGCGCTGCTGGAGAGCACCCAGACGTCGCTGCTGCCGGTATCCAGCTGGAGCTGGAGCTTCTGAGGGGGAGTGCCAATCTCAACATCGACATAATAGCGAGCGACGGCATTGTGAAGATCTCCCGTCAGGGCACCGGCCCCGCGCCGGTACAAGGACCCGCGTGATGCCTGACGCCGCGCAATGTCCCACTGAACAACGCGGTCGGGCGCGGCGGCTTGGGCAGCGGCCGCCAGCAGGGCGCCAGCAAGAACGGACGTATGCTTCATCGTATGGGCTGGCGAGACGAAAGAGACGTGGAGGAGAGAAAAGGCGAAACCTGTGCTTTGGCGGAACCGAGGCGGATTAAAGAGAGCGACAAAAGAGACAGGGCAACTGAATTCTCCAGGCACCACGAACGATGCAAAACGAGTGACACGAGTTGAGATCGAGAACAAGCATCTACGAGAATCGTTCTCAGACGGACGGCCGCTCCTGCGCGCATCTCCTACATATATGTATCTCTACACGTACACGTCGTATTTGCACGCGTGTGTGGGGGGAGGAAAAGCAGACGGGACCTTGTCGTCAGCTCTGCTGTGAGATTCATAAATGACCTTCAGGTGAGCCAGGACAAACTGGCACCAACCCTGTCGTTTTGAAGAGCAGCTGCAGGTGGCAGTCGACAACAGCAGTCCAGGAAACAAAACAACGGTTGTATTGGACAACGGAGGTCCTTCCGCACCATTGGAGCATGCCTCGTCTTGCACAGACTTTCCGCCTCGACATCGGGTCCACCAGACTGGTACGAGGGATACGGTAGGGGCCTAATCTTATTGCTTTGCGTCCTGTAAGCTCAGGATGCCTGCATGGGTTACAAGCTAGGTCTGTCAGCTGCGACTCAGCCTCGTGAAACCGACCGTTGGTGCAGTAATCTTGCAAGTTTTTCAGGGGCTGACCCACTATCCCCGCCTTAACCTGAGAAGAGAAGAAGTCAAACATACAGGGGCGGCACGAACGGCATCCTTTGCTGTCCTGGTTCTTATTTACGACTGCGACACAGCGCGTACGAATTGCAGGTAGGTAATTACTCGCACCAACACTGTTCCCAGACAATGCACAAAACGCAAAGCTTCAACATATCAGCCAACGCACCGCACGGAGCACGAGGTGTACGGAATACATGTGAGTACAATTCCAAATATCACAGCTAGTCGCCCACAAGCATACGATGTAGGTCACCAAAGGATCGTCCACGCCTATTTCCACGTAAAGCCGTACGTCCTCAGTAGGCCTTCTCTTTCGCCCTACCTTATTGGAGCACAACACGTCCTGCAACGGCCCTGGTCCATACAAGGATACTGCGAGTAAGCAGCTGTCCTCTAACCCTGTAAGTTGTTTTCGTTTACGCCGTACCGTCACCGCATGCATGGCGCTTGGACTGGTCATTTTACGACGCAGGCACACAGGGAATCTGCATCTTCCAATCCTGGCGGGCATTCAAATTTCTCGTCTTCCAGGCGCGGCAACCCAGTGTGCCGTGCCGCGTTTGTTACTGCTCCGTCCCAAGGCAATACGGCACATCCCAATACCACCTCGAGTTATACGGAGTCCAGCTACGGCTTTCCGAGATGCAGTCAAGCGAGCTTCCCAAAGTGGTCGAAGCCAGCCTCAAGCAAGGCTACGATGGCACAGCGGGCACAGGGAGCACATCAGAACACATCCACTCAGCAGCTCGGGCAAGGGCGGCACAGGTGCACCTCCAGAAATGGGAATTCTCAATGAGTTTTGTAGGGATGTATATTGGGCTGTTGTGCATTTCACATTGACGTTTTCAAATCGCTCTCACTCATACTTTCCACCTTTCATCTTTTCGCTCTTTCATTGCGTTGACGACTGTCTCACATCACACTCTGCCATGCTTCTAATTTGATCTGTTTTGTTTCCATTTATACCAAACGGTTCGTCATGAAATGAACGGTCGACGAATTGCCTGTCGCAGCTCCCCACCTTTCCGTGCACATGTCGCGTCACGACCATGGCTCAGATGGGCGTAGGACCAAGTCGGCAAACCCAATTTCACTCACATTTATGTAGTAATACCAGTAGCACAAACGGAATATCGCCAGTACCCTTCTTGTCTCAGCAGAGTGCCCGAAGTTTGCCATTGCCTCATGCACGTGCGAGAAATAGTGTATCTCTCCCTAACGTGAGACCCTCTGTGTTTGCTGATAAACCACGACGTAGAACTTATTTCATTTTATTTTTTAAGATCAAATTGCCCGGAAGACGACGCGTACACAGCATCGTCCTGATGTCTAGCATGATTCAGCAACACGTAGATGGGTAGCTCGGTAAAAGACTGAAAGACCCATATTTAGTGTCGACCCAACGGCCAGTCGAAGGTAAGCTTCCGTCATGCGGGCCGAGGAGCAAACAAGCAGGCCAGGCAAGGTTTATATCGTGCAGGAACAAAAGCTTGGCATATTTAGTCTCCCAAGCCGTCCAGGTCGTGATGTAGACAATATAAGAAAGCTGATATAGTCGCTGATAATAATGGTTCATGAAGGAATTTCCAAGTGTATTTTGTGGGTGGTAACGTGTTGGTGGACTAACGGCTCGATATAAAGTCGACGGCCTCACCAGGCGACGTCTTCTAATGTTGTTTCGATACTCTTGGCCGACATGGAGACCGGCACAAATTGGCGGTCCGGTCTTCACATACGACAGGTCGTGATGCGCCAAGTCTCCAAATGAGAGAGGCGACAACACTTACGGAGACTACAACTATTTGCATGCAGGTGCGCAGATGCGACATTGTACAAGTCTCCGTGCCAAAAACTCTGCAACGGAAAGACTATGCTCAGTAGAACCCGGTCAAATGGCATGATCCCAGTCATGTTAATCTCATGTGACTCCTAACAAAACAACATTACAGCTCAGAAGAGAAGGCCACCTACGAAGATTGAGAAATGCCCTTTTCGCAGTTCTCATCTATCTAGTCTAATTTCGGTCATGCATATTTCACGTGGAAGGCGTAGTGAGACTGCAAAGGGTTTTAAGGTGATGTTTCATTGATCCTTACTTCAACAATACATGAAAGCTGAGACCGTCACCTGGTCTGCTCAACCCTCGTCAGCGGGCATCTATTCGTCTCCCCTGAAAAAGGCGGAGCGAACGAATCCAAATTTCAGTGGCTTTCAACAGATGGCAACAGGCCTTAATGGCGTAACGGCCACGACAGAAAGAACATTCCATGAAGATCTGAGATCCCGTCGGGAGCTCAGAGGCAATTCTTTGTGTTGCTAACGCCATCTCAAGTCCTGAAGATACACATTAGGATCCAATGCTCCATGTTTGTCCTTAAAGTGACGCCAGACGCCCCATGGCCGAGAGTACATCCTCCCGCTGCCACATACCGGGCACGCAAATCGTTGCCCCTTCTTGTGGTACTCCTTTCTGTGCCTTTTGAGGTCTTGGAAAACGCCGAAGGCCCGCTCGCAACCGGGGCACTTGTGGGACTTGCCATGATACCGTATGTGCGTCCTATATCGTTTGTAGGTTTTGTTTCGGTACAATTGTACAGCAATTTGCGGCATAACATCGCATACAGCGGGCTGACGTACTCGTATTTGGACTTGCTAGCAAAGGTTTTCGGGCACCCGTGGTACACAAACTGTCCGTTCGTCGTCTCGGGTGATGAAGCCCGTTCGGTCGACACTGGGCTCGAGGCAGGGCTATCGGAGGGGTCATTGGCCGGTAGTTCTTCGTGGACAGGGCCGAAGCCTGGGGTGTAAGAAGCAGTCGCAGTGCTCAAGTCGACGTCGTCGAGGATATTATTTTGATAAATGTATAAGGCCTGATGGTCCGAGTTGTCGGTTTGCGAATTTTCAAAGTTGCCGGCTGTGTAAGGGAAGTTGCTGTCAACAAGCTCACGCCCATCTGATGACGAATTCCGCTCATCATTAAGATATTGTGGCGGAAAACTGTCTGAGTGACTGCTTTGCTCGTCTCCTTGGTCTGAGTGTGCAAAGTGTGTGCTCTCGTCAGGGAGTGGAAATGTTGAGGGATCGTATTCAACCGCAGTGCCAGAGCCGAAGTATGTATCAAAAGTCGTTACCATATAGTGAAAAGTCGCAAGACAAGGTCAGGTATTTGCCAGCCGGACTCCTACCTATGAGCAGGAGAACAGCTCCTAGTATAATAAGCTGGTATAAATGTAAAGAGGGGACAGTCGCCAAGCTGCTTAAGCCGGGACCGAAGGAAAGGATTGTGGTATGTCAGGGTATCACAAAGAGAAAACCTAAAGAGCGAAAGAGTGAGATAAGTTGTTGACGTCTTGCTAGAGATACGTCTTCGGGCTATATATGCCGATAGTTACTGAGAATCCACTCCAAGTCTCCCTCTATCAGAAAGTCAAACATTGCACGGCATGCAAGTTCAAGGATTCTACAAGATTCCATGCACGTTCAATCCTGCCGTCCTTACATGGCCAGACAAAGGTCCACAAGCTCGACCAACCGCAACCGCATGGGAAGAGACAGTTCAAAGAAGGGCCACAGGATAAGCCAATGAGGGTATCGAGCGTTGGACTTTACAAAGGTGCCCAACAAAAGAAGGATGCAGATGCGTCGGCAACGCATCTCCGAGCAAACTTTCAGTACTTCCCATGGAGTCAAAATTACTCAATATTTCTCCTGAACAAAGTATTTCGTGCCCAAATCGGCGATGCAAGCCTTTTCAGAGACTCGACGAGGTTCCTTGCAACAGAAGGGCCACAGCCCAAGCCAACCATGTTGTCGATATCTGATGCACGGGGGCCACACGATAGGCCAATAAGAGAACAGGCTGGCGGGCGTACAGACGCAGCTCAACATTACGAGTGGCCAGTGTGCCAGAAGGACCACGGCGACATGGCCATCGACGATTATCCGGAGCTGGGCGACATCGTCCCCGAGGACTCGGAGATTGAGGCGTCCGGACCCGGCGTTATGGGCTGGATCAAGAAGCTGTACCTGCAGTCGCGAGGCGTCGATCTCGGCACCTTTAGCTCGGACCTGCTCTCGGGGGCGTTTCGCGAGCAGTCCTACCAGTGGGAGCCGATGACCCGCATGTACATGGGCGAGGTCGTGCAGCTGATCCATCACTTCATGACCAGAGCGCTGCGTACCATCTGTCGAGACGACGACATCGCCGAGAAAATATGGTCTGCGATTTATGTGCCCGTGCTCGAGTGGTACAAGAACGGCCGGGACCAGGCTGTGCTCCTGATGGACATTGAGCGGACCCAGTCCCCCTTCACGCTGAATGCCATGTTTAACAAGGAGGTGCAAGCGGCCCGGGGTGAGCGGATGCGAGACATGCTCAAGACGAAAGCCTGGCTGGCGCCAAAGTACCAAGAAGAGGATAGGGCCGTGGTCAACCTCGACGACGCTCTGAGCGCGACGACGACGAAAACAAATGAAGAGTATCTGCACCAGGAGATCCACGACAAACTCAAGGCCTACTACCAACTCGCGGTTGATCGGTTTGTCGACAACGTCTTCCGACAGGCCGTCGGCTACGATCTCTTGTTCGGGCCGCAGGGCCCGCTGTCCGTCTTTACACAAGGGTGGGTGATTGACTTGGACGCAGATACGTTGAGCCAAATCGTTGGAGAGAAGGAGATCACCAAGGCACGCCGCCAGGCACTCAAAAAGAGAAGCATTGATTTGAAGGCAGCATTGGACATTCTCAAGCCTTAGACAGCATACTCGGTAAGTGTGTTACTGAGCACTGGATTGCTCACAACCGGACAACAAATGCGGCACGAACAATGCAAGACAGGATGTGGTGTTATTTATGACTGAGACTCTTCTTTGTTCTTTCTTGGGGGCGGGGGGTGTTCGCTTTGCTACGCGTTATCTCGTTTCTCTATTTTTGTTCTTCTTCGAGCACGTATTAGTTTTTCGTTTCCGTTAATTTAAACCCAGATTGAAGCATAATGAAACTGAAGCAATGATAGCAGCCCCCTAAACCATACAGCTAACACAGACCAACCACGGCAACCTCGGCACGTGGCCATCCTTAACAACACATCCTACTTCTTGCTCTTCGACTCCTCGTCACCCTTTGCCGACTTCTTCTTTGAGGACGAGTCGCCGTCGACGGCTCCCTTCTTCTCGTCGCCCTTGGTCTTGTCGTCGGCATTGTTTCCATCCTCCGGCTTGTCATCACTGCTGTCGTTTCCGTCGTCCTTGTCCGCATCGTCGTCCTTCTTCTCGTCGCCATCGCCGTTGCCGTCACCTTCGTCGCCCTCGTCGGAGCTCTCTTCGTCGTCCTTGGGCTTCCCTTGGGCCTTGTCCTCGCCCTCTTCGCCGCCCTTCTTCTTCTTGTCCTTCTTCGCTTTCTTCTCCTGCTTCTTCCGCTCCTCCTCTTCCTTCTTGGCCTTCTCCTTGTCGGCCTGCTCGAGCTTGGCCCACTTCTCCGTGTAGTCCTCTGCGCCGGTGCCGCGCTGGTGCATGCCCTTGGCCAGGCGCTCCGTCATGTTCTCGCCCACGTCTTCGATCTTGGCGCGGAAGATGAGGCTGACCAGGATGGCGCTGCCCACGACAAACGTCAGGACGAAGCGGTACGTCGAGTACCACGGCGGCACCCAGCCCATCTTGGTCGCGCGGCTGTCGGCAAAGTACAGCAGCGTGAATGCGAAAAACTGGCCCGTCAGGGCAAAGTGCACGGGCAGCAGAAGCGTCGGCCAGGCAATGGCGGGGGCGAGGACACCCATGGCGTAGCGGAAGCGGGTGCGGTCGTGCGACGGCGTCTTTTCGTTGAATTCCATGCCCTGGTGCGTGTGTGTATGTGTCAGTTTGGTTGATCAGAGATTGCGCGTCGGTCACCTCCGGTTTCTGTCGCCACCTACCCAATGCACGGCACCAAGGAACGAGATGATGACGGCGCCAAACCCCAGCTGGATGGGCTCCAGCATCGCCAGCCACTGGTGCGCCGTCTCGTGGCTGACCATGAAGGTGTTCATCAGGGTCGACGACGTCGGGTAGCTGTTGCGCAAGGTCCACCCCAAATAGACGGTCGACAGCGATGTCAAAAAGTACGGGACGGTGCCGCTGAGGCCCAGCGCGTACACTTCGCGGGGCACCTCGGTCAGGGACAGCGTCTTTTTGATCGAGTTCTGCATGTATTAGTCGCTGCCACGGCTGCGTCCATAGTCTCTCTCCCCCGCAGGACACTTACTGCATCGGCTTTCAAGCTGTCCATCATCGGCGGCTCGTCATCCAACGGCCGCCGTTCGTTTGGCTCGCGGAAGTGTCGCCGCGACGACTCGACCGTCACCTCGCCGGGCCGCGCCTCGAGCTTCTGCTGGCCGACCTCCTTCTCGTGCTCACGGTCAATTTTGAGCTTGACGGGGGGTCGTGACTTGGAGTCTGTCGAGTACGCGATGAGGAAGCGCGTCGAGGGCGGCGTTGCCAGCTTGAACGCCAGCGGATGCACTCGACGTGATGTCTTTGTGTGCATCGGGCGGCTCTGCGATGCGGCCTCGCGACCGACCGCCAGGGAAACGGCGCGGCCTACAACAAAAGGCGTGGCCGTGGCATTGTTTCTGATGGCCGCACCAGCTCGCACCGGGGAAAACAATGGCCGTGATCGAAGCATTGCCAGTCAGACGAAGCAATTCGCCCAGTGAAGGTGGTTAGATAGGGCGCAGCAGCCAAGATGCTAGAAAGTATGCAATGACGATGTCGAAAAATCAACGTGCTTGGTAAACAAATAAAATACAAAAAGAATTAAAAATAAAAAATAAAAATCCCGGCCACCAGCAAAGGCCAATCGATGCGAGCTGGAGCTTCTTTATTTGCGTCGCAGGGAGCTCGCTCTTCGTCAACGTCATCGTCGTGGTACCCCGTCCCGCCCTGGCCAATGACAGGCGATTGGCCCTGTTCTGTCATGGAAAGGAACCTGGCTCCTGGCACTTGTCTCGACGCCGGGAGGTCGGCTTCGACGATTGGCCATGTTTGACTGCGCGTAATCCCGCCATTGTTCCTATGCTTCTTCCTTCCTCTTTTGTTCCCCGTCTTTGTGCAATGGATTGTTCCTGCCGTGATCTGCAGCTCCAGTGCCTGCCTGAAACTCAGATGTGACGTAATACGTTCGTAAGTACCCCATCTGGTGCGTGCTGCATACAACAGGTACCTCGCAGTGGTGCGTGCTAGCCGTAAATATTCCACAGCAGGAAACCAGTCCCTCCTCGGCAACTCGACCCCACCACAACGGGGGTTACAGCAGGAGGAAGCCGTGGGCGGCCCTCTTTCCAAGTTTGTTTTTCTCAAGAACCAGCTGCGTTAGTGGCATCATCGACTCCGTCACGCCGCCAACATTGAGGAACACAGCACCAGACGACACGACATCGAGGCCCAGCCCGACAGATGGACGACACGCTTTTTCCTAGTCGCTTCTTTCGTTGAACGAGTAAACGAAACAACAAAACGCACAACACACAGCCCACAACACACAACACACGCGCGCGGCCCAACAGCGGCCCAACTCTCACGATATTCCGATTTCCTACGGCCACAATCACAAGCCCACGATTCCTCCATCCCTCGATCCAGTCGATTCCTCCATCCCGAAACCTTTCTCGACTCGCATCCCGCCCAATGACGCCTGCGATTCGATCCGGTGTCTAACTTGCGCGTCTCGCTCTCCTCCTTCCCTCCCTCCCTCCTCTCGTTCCCTTCGCCTTCTTTTCTGCCTCCTCCGCGACGGCTCCGTTTGATCCTCCGCCAGCGCCGCCGCCATGCTGGAAGGTCTCGTCGCCGGGTTGCTTAACCGCTTCCTCGGCATGTACGTGCAGAACTTCGACCCAACCCAGCTCAAGGTCGGCATCTGGTCGGGCGACGTCAAGCTGCGTGACCTCGAGCTGCGCCGAGAAGCACTCGACCAGCTCAAACTCCCCATCAACGTCGTCGAGGGCCATCTGGGCCAACTGACCCTCACCATTCCCTGGTCCAACCTCAGCGGCGCGCCCGTCAAGATCTACATCGAGGATGTCTTTCTGCTCGCCTCGCCTAAGGAGGAGGCCGCGTACAACGAGGAAGAAGAGGAGCGCCGCAAGCAGCGGCTCAAGATGGAGAAGCTGGACTCGGCCGAGCTGCTCAAGGAGCGGTCCCAGGAGGGCCTGAGCCAAGAAGAGCAGCAGAAGAGCCAAAGTTTCACGCAGAGCCTCGTCACCAAGATTGTCGACAATCTGCAGATTTCCGTCAAGAACATCCACATCCGCTACGAAGACTCCATTTCCGCGCCGGGCCACCCGTTCGCCCTCGGCGTCACCCTCGAGGAGTTCAGCGCCGTCAGCACCGACGAGGGCTGGCGTCCGGCCTTTATCCAGGCCGTCCTCAAGTCGACCAACAAGCTCGTCACGCTCGGCGCGCTCGCCGTCTACTGGAACACCGACACAAAACTCCTTGGCTCCGGCCGCGAGGCTCCCGTCGAAGGCGCCGACGACGCCCCCCATGACGAGATCCTACAGCGGTTCAAGGCGATGATCGCCACGACAGACGCCGACACTGCCGAGGAAGAAGACACGATTGACGAGGAGGACGGCGGCGATGACGGGTCCGACGAGAAGACGGCCCAGAAGATCGCCTCGCACGACCACCAAGGCCACCAGTTTATCCTGCGGCCCGTCAGCGGCCAGGCCAAGGTCGAAATGGACAAGACGGGCAACATAAACGCGCCCAAGTTCAAGGCCAACCTCATCTTTGACGAGATCGGTGTGGTCCTCGACGACCAGCAGTACCGCGATGCCCTGATGATGATCGACCTCTTCCACTACTTTATCCGCCACCAGGAGTACAAGAAGTACCAGCCCAAGGACGTCCGGCCAAAGGACGACCCGCGCGCGTGGCTCAAGTTTGCCGGCGACGCCGTCCTCAGCAAAATCCACGAGCGCAACCGCCGCTGGACCTGGGACTACTTCCGCGAGCGCCGTGACGACCGCCGACGCTACATTGAGCTCTTCAAGAAGAAGAAGCAGAACCAGACACTGACGCCTGAAGAATCTGACGACCTTACCAAACTGGAGTGGAAGCTCGGCTACGAAGATTTGCGCTTCTGGCGCTCGCTGGCACGCAGCCAGCTCAAAAAGGAGAACGCAGCCGCCCTCAAGCCAAAGGCCGATGCACAGAAGCCACAGCAGCAGCAGGGCTGGGTGGCATGGGTCTGGGGCTCCAAGCCTGCCGAGCCGCCGGCCGACGAGTCCGAGAACACACAGATGACCGAGCAGCAGCGCCAAGAACTGTACGACGCCATCGACTGGGACGAGAAGACCGCGCTGGCTGCCGAGGTCGACGTGCCGCGAGACTCCATCAAGCTGCAGATTGAGACGTCGCTGAGCACGGGCAGCTTCACCCTCAAACAGAACCCGCACGGCAGCGCCATCACCGACTTGCTCAGTCTGCACTTTGATGGCTTCCGCGCCAAGGCCATCCAGCGGCCCGACTCGATGATGCTCGACCTCAGCCTCGGCGGCCTCCGCGTCAACGACGGAACGACTCCCGAGAGCCTGTTCACCGAAATTGTCCGCGTCAAGGACGCCCCCGGCACCGTGGTGACGACCAGCAAGAAGAAACGCCTGTCCATCAGCGAGCTCGAGCAGACGACGGCCGACACCAGCGACGAGCAAGCATTCTTCTGGTTCCAGGTCGAGCAGAACCCCCTGGACGGCGAGGGCGACATCGCTGTGCGCGGCAAGCTCAAGCCGCTCGAGATCGTCTGGAATCCCAACTTTGTCATTGGCGTCTGGCACTTCTTCAAGCCCCCCGAGCGCCACATGGAGTCCATCACGGCACTGATGGAGTCGGCCGGTGCGACTGTCGAGGGCCTGCGCGAGCAGACGCGGGCCGGTCTGGAGTTTGCCCTCGAAGAGCACAAGACCATCAATGCCAAGCTGGACCTCCAGGCCCCGCTCATCATTGTCCCCCAGAGCATCACCACCCGCAAGTCCACCTGCCTCATCCTCGATGCCGGCCACATTAGCGTCAGCAGTGAACTAGTCGACAAGGACACCATGAAAGACGTCCAGTCCAAGCAGAGGGGTGCCTACACGGCGGCCGATTTCCAGCGTCTCGAGTCGCTCATGTACGACCGGTTCACCGTCAAGCTGACGTCCACCCAAGTCCTCATCGGCCCGTCCATAGAAGAGACGAAGGTGCAGCTGGCGGACAAGGACGAGGAGCTGCGCATGCACGTCGTCGAAAAAATCAACGTCGACTTTATCGTTGCCGTATCCATCCTGCCCAGGGCGCCCAATCTGACGCGGGTGAAGATGTCGGGCCACATGCCCATGCTCCACGCGGCTGTCTCCGACACCAAATACAAGAGCCTCATGCGCATCATCGACGTCGCCATTCCCCGGTTTGACGAGGAGGCAGAAGGGGCTGCTGCACTGCCTGGAACAGGCGTCGATGGCGCCCAAGACACGAGGCCAACCAAGAAGGGCCGGCCCCGTTTGCTGAGCTCGGCGTCCAGCGCATCGAACAAACGGAGCAGCCAGCGCCCTAAGTCGCAGCTGCTGTCGTTGACCATCCCGGAAGAGACGGCCATTGTCCTCGACGACGACAATGACGACGACGACGATGACAGCTTCCAAGACGCCGACAGCGGCTCTGCTACCGAGCAGCGTCGCATGCAGCAAAAGACGTTCCAGTTTACCTTTGCGGTCGACGAGCTGCGTGGCTCGCTGTACCGAAGCGACCCGGACGGCGTCAAGCCCGATACCCTGCTCGTGGAACTTGTGGCCCACAGGTTCGATCTCGATTTCTACCTGCGGCCGTATGACATGGTCGCCGAGGTGTCTCTGGGGTCCGTGACGGTCGACGACTTTGTCTCCAACCCGTCTGCCGAGTTCAAGTCCATCGTCTCGTCGGGCGACGTCGAGGACCGCGAACAGCAGCGCGCCCTGGTGCACGTCAAGTTTGTGCGCGTCAAGAAGGAGTCGCCCGAGTTCATGCCCGTCTACGAAGGCATCGAGACGAATGTCAATGTCGCCATCTCCACGATCAACTTGATTGTCACGCGCAAGACGTTGCTGACGCTGCTCGACTTTGTCCTCATCACGTTTACAAACGGTGGTGCCCCAGACGACAGTACCCCGGTCAGCAACGTCGATGCCGACGCCGATGCCGACGCCGACCGCAGTCTTCTCCCTGCCGGCGAGACGGAAGGAGACGGTGACCAAACGCCCGACTCCCCAACAGGATCGCAGGCGGAAGTTGGCGCTGCCGGCGGTAGTGGTGGTGCCATCCGTGTCAAAGTGGACCTCAAGAGCATTCGGCTCATCCTCAACAACGATGGCATCCGACTGGCCACCTTGGCGTTCAACCACGCCGACGTCGGCGTTTTCCTCCTCGACGGGACAATGCGCATTTCGTCGCGGCTGGGAAACCTCAGCCTGCGCGACGACGTCAACCTGGGTGTGCCCGAGGACTCGCCCCTTCGCCAGCTCATCACGATCCAAGGCGACGACCTTGCTGATTTCCGCTACGAGACGTTTGATGTGAAGAACAAGAAGACGTATCCCGGCTACGACTCGTCCATCTTCCTGCGGGCCGGGTCCATCAAGGTCAACTTCTTGGAGGAGCCCTTCCGCAAGATCA